ATCACCATCAACAACAAACAATCCAGAACAGCTTTAATGGCTGCTGTTACATAGTAACAATAAGTAAATAAGGGTGATAAATAGGGTAAATAATAATAGTAATAAAAGGGTAAATAGTAAATAAGGGTGATAAATTTCTTTGACTGACTACCCAAGTAAGGTGTTAGAGTACTGAAGCAAGTATTTCTGTTGTGAGAAGACTGGCTAATGTAAGAGGTACAGTTTATTTATGGATAACTAACAGAACACTGTGGTGAATAAATGTACAGACAGAAAGAAAAAAACTACTTATATTTCTTCAACATATTTTCAGGAGGATTTTGTAATTATGTTTCAATAACGCCTCCAAATTCCTACTTCAGTACAATGAACTTAGGGGAAAAAAAAATTGGTAGCTTTCATTCATCTTTTCTTTCCTATTTTCCACATTCTGTAAAGACAATTATTTCTTATTTCAATATTTTATACAAAGGCTTGATTAAAACTTACCTGCTCACTATAATGCCTAACAGCTCTCTTCATCAGTTGGTCTCTTTTGTAGAACTGATATTTAATTTCAAAGTACGCAAGTCTGAAAGACAAACAATTGTGAAGTAATTAAACATTACCAATAAGTACTCTTACTCTGGTTTTTCATTTGTTTGTCTTTTACTTGAGATAAACTTGAAGCTATATTCCCTTGAAAAAGAGAAGAAAACACCACTCCGGCATTCGTCCTTTTCCATCCTTTTATACTAGTGACAATCAGCAAAGTTTAATACAGACCTTCTAATAAAAGTGTATAGTACATATTTTTTGAAATTATTAAAATAAAAATACTTCTTTGGCTTACTTGAAAATAAGATCATCCACATCTGTTAGAGTAGCCCCAATACTTTTCAACAGTAAATTAAGAGAATGGATGGCTATCATTTCTTCACTCTTTTCTGATGCTTCTCCACCAGAAGCCAGAGACAGACTCAAATGCAACTGTAAAGAAGGAATTAGTAAAACCAACAAGTTCATCCAGAAGGTCAATTACACCATCTACTTTACCATAAAGAACAAAGAAATTATTTTTATCAATTATCTTATTACCCCAAATCATCTATTACATACCTTAATTGGAGAAATATGAAAAAGCTCAAAAAAGCTCAGCATTGACAAGTCTGTTAAGGAAGTCTCCATTAGTTCAGTGCTAAGTGCATCCACATCTTGCTGAATTAGTTTAGACTATTTTAATTTAAAAAGAAAGAAAATTGAACAGAAGGTTATCAACATATGTAACAGTAGAAAAAACATTCAAGCATATACATACTACACATAAACATGTCAATATATGAATAAAAGCCAGCACGAAGAACAATCATGTAGCAAAACAGCAAGCTAACTAAATGGTGAGCGACCCCAAAACTGGAAATGGGCTACTTGCTTTTGCACCCCAGACTGCAGTAACACCAAGTCTTTTCCCTTAAAAGGGTAAACATAAAAATTTCTGTGACTTTTTAATCCTTCTTGATCACTTGATACGTCCTTATATTTCTAAATCACTAACAGGTATTACTTCCATATTAATTTAGAAATATTAGTAAAGTAACTAACTTCCTGTGGTCACTTGTATTTTTGTATTTCCTCACCAGATCAGAATTTTAGATAACACATCTGAAGATAACATTTGTAAGAAAAAATCACTTTCCAGTTACACATCACTACTGACAAGTCAGTTAAACGATTACTCTATATACTTTAACCTTAATCTACCACCCTTAACACTTTGCAGCCACAGCTGAAACAACCATGTCAAACAATCAAACCTTAAAAGAGAAAACAATTACACACACCACTGTATCAGTTACTCAAACTTGTCTGTTAGTAATACCCAACCCTAAATGACAATGGAAATCCCAATGCTTCGCAGACAATTATTTTATTAAATCTCTTCATTCACTGTTCTCCAATGCAATATTCACTAAAATATTCAGAAAATCACGTAGGCCCATAAGGATGTATTGCAGTAAGAATCACATTACCCTCTGTCTTTCAGCTTCTGGATCTGTAGATGGAGTGAAAAGTTCAATAAGTGCTGCTAAGAACCCTTGGTCGATTTTCAGCGCCATTTCCTGGATAAGAACCATGAAGTACCTAAAATGGGAAAATGAACAGTGTGTGAAAGCATCCGGAATTTAAACTAAACTTGAACAAGTAACTGAGGTTTGGTTATTCAATACTACTTATTAAAAAAGCAGTATTAACTACATATTTACAGTTAGGATACAGTGTGAAATTATACGTTGCTATACTGCAAATTGTTCAAAATTGACCTAAAAATACCAGCTATCAGTAATTTTAATTTTGTACTTTATGATTTTGTGTGCTCTGCTGTAACATATTTGTTCCTCTTATCCAGCTGCCTTCCTCTGTAAGTCATATTATTGAATATTTACTTCAATAAAATTGACCATCCTCAAATATTACACCTATATTAGCCAGGTACAAAAACTTATAAGTAACCATTAGAATATTTTCATCTCATTCCATAGTACAAGAACTCAAATGAACACACAGACATATTAACTAGAGAAGATATATTTCACAGTAAAATACTGTCTTGACCTACATTAGAGACTGAATTAGTTGTCCGTTGTTAGAGCACCAAATAAACCAAGCCCTGTATAGCAAATATGCAGAGATGCAACCCTGATGTTTCAGTTGAAGATGTACATCATTCTGATTAGTAAAGAACTTCCTTAACAGTTAACAAGGCCAATTCTTACTTTCTAAAATAAATATTTTAAAACATTTTTTTCCACTACAGACGTTTAAAACTCAATCCAAGTCAGTAGTTTTGGATAGACAATCCCACTGCTAAACAATGTTCACTTTAAAAAGAATTAAAGATCTCTAAAGATGCATTACAACACGATTACACTCACTTGAATTGCAGCACTTTGCTGTATTCGTTAAACCTAGTGATAACACTGATGTCAATGAACGGTTTTGGTTCTGAAACAAAAAATAAAAAATAAATTGTCAAGCTACTATATTCAAGGCTGCGTAATTCTGGTATCATTAAAGGTTTTCACTTACCTGAATCCAAAGCAATTGACTTGGGAGGGGCTACTGGGTGAAACACGACAGGGAACATCGATCCTGGTAACTGATTATCAACCTAAAATTATCATATTAATTAGACTTCTGTTTTAATACCACAATAATCAAAGACCATTTCAGTTTTAGACGGCCTGGAGAAATCCCTTTTTTTTAAATATACTTCAGTGTTGTTTTCATACTCCTTCCCATTCTTCTTAGGGGCAGGAGAAAGGGAAAGTAGATTTTGCTGCAGTAATTTTGAGAAGTTACTTTTTAAGTACTAGAAGATCTAATGATTGGAACTGTTGCAAAGGGATGCTTATGGAATTTCACACACACAGTTAGAGGATCTGTAGCTGATGGTATGTTTGACTCTAATAACAAGTACCACCTTCACACAAAATAAAAACAAAATACGAAAGAATGATAGAAAAAAATCTTCCCCAGCAGCTGGTTAGAAAAAGTATCAACAGGGTCTTTGATGAGTGCCTCCTTTGTGCAAGGCTCTAAAGAGCAGCCAGAGCTGATGAAGTTGATCGCTATCCTCCTCAATATTTTCCTCTAACACAAAGCACTTCTCAGAAGTACCTGCTCAAACAATCTACAGGTATTCTTGTTCATGTATCAGCACTCATAGCATCAACTGGAGTATGCTGGTCAGCTACAAATACTGAATGTTAATTCACTGCTAAACTTGTGTACAGATAAACTGCTAGATATTGGTTTAGTGTCCATTGTCTGCTTTCCAATAGGTTGGTCCCTTTTGTATACAAAGAGCTCTGATTCTCCAGGTACACTATCTAAAGTTACATGTTACATGACTATATACAAACTATGACTGTACAGAAGCAACTACGATAAATTTTGAAAAAGGTTGTTTATTTTTTCTTCATATATAAACTTTCTTTAGAAACACACTTTCCATTTTAGGGCCCTGTTTTATGCTAATCCATAATTTTGTGCAATCTTTTCCATACTGCACCAAATGACAGGATAGGGTTGTTTTCCACCAATGAATATTTATATCACTTCAGCTACCCTGAAGAGGGCAGAGAGTCATATTATCCATCAAGTGGATGGGGCCAGACTCTTTTCTGTGCTGTGCACAAAAGAACACGGGCCGATGGGAAAGAACTGGAACACAGCAAGTTCCATACAGACACAAGGAAGAACTTCTGAGAGTGACAGAGCACTGGAACAGGACGACCAGAGAAGTTGTGGATTCTCTGAAGATATTCAAGGTCCATCTGAACACTTTACTACACAACCTACCATAGGGAATCTGCTTTAGCAGGAGGGCTGAACTTCATGATCTTCAGATTCCCCCGCAATTCTGTGATTCTCTGATATACATTAGATTTGGAGATACCTCTTCATACAGTTATATGAATACAATAAAATCTTAAGTGCTTACTATATAGAACATGAGGAAAGATCGTACCTGTAGCCAATACAATTGAGCCCGTAAGCTTCTTTGGTGAGGTGACTGTTTGAATTCAACTTGAATTCCTGATAGGAAGTTACGTCGGATGCTGCATCTAACTGGGAGGCGCATTTCCATCGGGACCTTACTAAAATTCACCTGGGAACAGTACAGAGCAAGTGTATCATTTAATAAAGCTTGAGGATAAAGAACATTTCATAATACCAACCAACAAACCAGTACGTAACACCTGCATTATTCATTATATCACAATCATATGTATTATTGAAATTACTCAAATTAAGTATTTGCATGGAAAGAAAATCAGTTATTTTGACAAGCACATTACATGCAACTTCAATTGTTCAAACCAAAAGGGTCTGTGTTATTCTTAGTAGTTATTCAGCACACATTGGTGTAACTGAGGATGCTATCTCATCTCCTAGTTGATGCTTCTACCCCTGATTCTGACAGATTCTCTCTTACTTAGTAATAAGTAGACAGGAAATACATCAATATTGTCTCAATGTTACATCAGAACAAGATTTTTTACTTAATAGAACACAAAACTATTCCAATATAAAGTTTGCTTCTCCTATTGAGTATCTTTTAATTGGTCATCTATCCTTAATTAACAAAATGCAAGTATTCTCACTGTCGTTTAGGTGCTACAGTCATTTAAATGATGGAGCTCAAAACATACCTCTGTAGCGCTGTCTAGTTTATGCCAACCTGGAGCTTGGAAAGCAGTCTTAGAAATATACTTTTGATAAGCTTGTTCCAATAGGTTTATTTGTTTTTGATTAAACGGCCTCCATTTCTGTTTCCGTTTTTCTTCCCAGACAACACCAGAACTGCAAGACATACAACAAGGTTAACCATTTTAAAATACTTAAGCCTTTCTTATACATACAAGCCACATAAAAAGATGCTATCCTCATTTTTCAGGCCTGAATGAACTATTATTTGCTTTTCTACAGAAGCTAAGAAAAAAACCAAGCATATCCCATTTAAGTAAATTGCACAACAGGAAGAAAGGCAGAACTTCAATTTGCGTAAAAGGTTTCACCCATATTAATCACATAGACAAGACATTCCTATCGATTCAACCACACTGCTAAATTAACCATATACTGTCAAATTTTTGAGTACTCAAAGAAATATTTAGGCCTCTATGTGCGCTACCTAGTAATTCCTATGTAAGAGATTTCTTTTTTATTTTCGTTGTTAACAAGAGAAAGTCCCAGACTGTGAATTGACAAGGTTATTTCTTGGTCAGGTTGCTCTAGCTCTTCAGCTTGTAATGCTTTGGAAACCAACGCAACATCATCTGTGAAGAGCAGCACTCGTTGGCGACCATCCAGGAAGGAAACCCAGTGTATCTGAGTATTTGCATTATATGGAAATTGCCCACATTCATCCTGTATTGGAAAACAATAACATAATATATTACAGGAGTAAACCCACGATGTTTGTTTGTATACATACAGCAACAAGTTTACTGGTACACACAAGTAAACCAGAAATAAAATAATTTTCTGTTGTTAATTCAGTTTACTGCACCACACTGATTTCAAGGCATGTGGCATCTCAAAACGCTGTAATGAGAAGAAGCTGGCTGTTTTTTTTCTTTTCTTTTTTTTTTTTCCTCCCCTTTTTTCATTTATTTTTAAGTGCTTTTGAACTGTAGCAATAGTAGCTAGTGAGAAGAACTTCGACAATGATTAGTAAACAAAGCCCTTTGCAGAAAAGGGAACAACTTAGAATCCTACATTATGGGGACAGAATACATTAAACTGCATACCATAAAACAGTAAAGAGAGACATGATTAAAAAGAGTTCAAAACTTCAAATGCAGAGATTTCTCATTTGTTACTTTGTGAGGCACAAGTGGCACAGATAAAAATCCCCTTCTTAAAAGTCATGTAAACATAATCATAATGATATACGAAGGAAATAAGTTTTCATGCAAACTAAATAAATATAATTTAAAATAAATGTAGAAAATCTGACTCAAGAAAGTGGTTACATGGTAAATGCTTGCTTCCCCGTTACTTAACAGAATACCTGATTAGTCTTATCCTAGATTTACCTCTGACTGCAGTTAGCCTCCCCCACTTCCTCACTCATTTTCAACAGAATCGTTTGTCTTCTGCACCCACTTAACAATATTTTAATATTGGGGGAGCTAGAAACACTACAAATACCTCTTGCTGAAACCCAGTTTTCTATTCCAAGAAAGCATTTCTCACAAGGAAGCCAGTCACAGAGTTTTTCCTAGAGCTTTGGGGAAATATTTAACCCAAATGCACCATTGCTTATAGTGATTTATGCTGTCCTTTGTATTATATAGACACTTCTATAGCCATAGCTCTTCACCGCTCTTCTTTAATATCTGAGGAAAGCATGGTGAAAACAGTTTGGAAACTGTATGAAATCCTCTATCCCTATCAATCTAAAAACTTGTTTAACTGAGAACAGGATCTGCTGGAGGACAAGATAGAAATGCCAAGTTACTGAAGAAACTTTCACTCTGAAAATTTTAGACTTCTTACAGTCCTAGTCTGGTTCAGCATTTACTTCTCCCTTTCTGAGATTTACCTTCAGTAGATCATGTTCACCAAAGCTTTGAGTGTAGCTCCAAGCCAATTTTCTTGTTTTAGTTGGATCTGTCCACGCAAACAGGCATACTTGCTTTGGTTTCAACTCCATTTCCTCCTGTAATCCACTGCAGTTTAAAATAATAATAAAATTAAAATAAAGATTATATAATTCCTTGTTTAAAGATCACTGTTTAAAGTAACACAACATGTTATGGTACCATACACTCTTCTGATCCAGCCTCCTGGAGGTGAGGCATGAAGGGCATAGGTGATCATCTCCAAGCTGTAGCTAGGCTCTCGGTGAATATGGCCTATACTCTCACTTTATCTTCTCCAGTTTCTCAAACAGTACTAACTGCTTAATAGCAGGTAAAGAATACTTCATTAAATGAATGATATAGCTTTTTCATTATTATTACTTTTTATTGAAAACATTATTATTTACCATAATGGTAAAAGAGAACTATTACTTTCTTCTCAAAGGATATCCACTCTAAATAATTATCAGTGAACAGTTTCTTTCACATACCTCTGTTTATATCTGAGGGAGTCCCATGAAGTATGGTTAACAATAAGAGCTGGGGCAGCTCCCTCATGGTAATCTGAGAAGCTTATAAGAGTAGAGTGCTCTGACACATTCACCTCTACCAATAAGCCCCCTGTCTGGAGTAAAAGTTAGAGAGAAAGTTCAGTATTTGCTCTATGCATACATTCAAAGTAGAAGAGGCTAAATTATTACTTTTATATCAGTCTTCCATGGGTCTCTTACAAACAAAAAAAGGAAACTTATTCCATATTATCTAGTAACAGTAACATCAAACACACGTAGTGGCTTAATTAAGACATTTGTAGCATTCACAAAATATCTGTAGGTTTAAATTAAAATTTATACTCTGATTGTAAGAAAAATGGCTTTTAAAATCAGATGTGTAACATTTTTTAAAAATTACTATATTTGGCTACACTTAGTAAAACCAATAGGCAGACATTTCCTTCCATAAATTTTACAAAACTGAAAGACAGGAGTCTAGATGACTGCATCATAGTTCTTAAAATGTATGATAAATTCAGCAATCGTAGATTAACAACTGATCACTAAGCAGAATATTTCTATTGAATAAATCTCTAAACAAATCACACTGAGTCTCTCATAACAGCTTTCAATATCCTGCTTTCCTCCAGTATATCTCTAATACAATGACACAACCAAAATGTGTACAGCTCAGTTTTTTCTTCTATGCTGAAAGGCTGCACTAAGGGTAGCTGTGGAAAGGAACACATCTGCTTCTGAAAGGAATCCTACACATTCTCCAGCTCACAAAGGCATATAAGGAAAAACATTTACCCCTTTAAAGACAGCATAAAACTTCACTATAAGACCTAGAGAAGACTATCTTGCAAATCTGAGCTATCTATTGTCTTAGAATAGTAAATAAAATAAAAAGCGTGCCAACAGAATTTTAGAATACTGATGACATCTTGCTCTGAAAACACTTTCCAGCTGCTTCAGCAAAGCTGGAGATAGGTTATCTTCACGTTTGATTGTATTTCAGCTAACTATAATAGAGCGTTATCTCCCAAGACTCACCTGAACATGCCACATTTACATGCATGTTCACTAATGGTAGAAGAAGCTGAACTCTGAAATAATTAAGATTTAACTAATTCAATCGTAAGTTTATTAATGAGCTCTTCTTTTCTCATTGAGAAAACATGACAGACATTGTATTTTAGGATAGTTACCTTAAAATGAAACAAAAAAATGCTCAAGTCATTCATCAAATGAATAAGTGTAAAAGATCATTTTTAATTTAATAGCAGTTGAGCATCCTATGAGTTTGTCAAAAACCATATCACCTTGACTGCTTCCAACAGCTATGAAAACTCTGAGAACATCATCAACACGATTCACAATCTCTTCTATGAAACAGAACTGAAGTGTGATGTGCCAAGACCTTAAAGTAGAAGGCGTCTATCTCAGTCATCTCTAAGAGTCAAGCTGCATTAAGTTCAATACTACAAAACTAAAATCAAGTATTAAGCATGGACCAGAAAGAGTAGTAGTCTCACCAATTCTTCCAGCCTCAACAGAGTGCCATTATCTGGGACTTGAAAGAGGAATGGTTTGGACACACTATGAAAGCCAACTACTCTTACACAAAGTTCACCAGATGAGTTTTCAGGCCAGAATGGAAGACACTGTAAAACAAGAGATACGCAATCACTTACAGCTCATATGTATTCAACATAGTAAATCAGTAGTAAGTAGCCTTGTATGACGAACTTATTTGCCTTAGGCTCTTACCCCAGTTCCTAGTGATAGACATACTGTGTACATTTAATAAGTTACCTAAGTTGAAAGACTTAATTTACCCAATATATGTCACCTGTGCTGCTCACCACGACCTGAGATATGTGAAGAGTCCATGTCACAGCAACAGAGGAGACAGAGCATTGACAGAGATGTTATTTTCTTAGATGACAGCTAAAGACCTGCTATTTGCTATTTATCTCTGATAACATCCAAAGGAAGCAAAACAAAAATTACCTCTGAAGATGAGATATAATTCCATTTGTTTGTTGGAAAAGAACCATTAGGACCAATTTCACCAACTTCTAGTTCCAGAGAAGATTTGTTTGCTATCGTGTAGAATGGAGTGAAGGTAACTATCCTTGTAAGGTTAAAACTGCTCATTTTGATACTGACTCCAACCTGTTAAACAAGGAAAATTGGTTCAAACAACCAACAGGAAAATTAAGAGAAAAGTCATGATGGATGAAAAGAAAAGCCCGTGTTAAATTAATTACAAAGGCTAGCTAGTTCTGAACACCTCTGAACATGAGAATGAAGAAGTGCATTATACAACATGATTAGTCCAAAGGCAAAAAGGATAGTTTTAGCTGTAGTATTTGGTAGCATATAGTATCAGTTTAGCAGGAGCCTCAGGTAGTATTTTTTTGTGTCTTTTTTTTATTTTAATTTTTATTTTTTATTCTGTGTAGCTTCAGAGGTACTTCAGATGAAGTTGCTAAGTCAGGCTCTAAGTAACCCCAAAAGCTTTGAGTTTTCAACAAGTGACACTTGTGTCTTCAGTATTAAAATTCAATACTATAATCTCAAAAGACCTTATATAACAGGAATTGGTTAATTTTCATTTTGAGGTTTGATTTAAAAACTAGTGAAACAAAAGCCTCAAACAGAGAAAAACAAGTGCCCCAAGAGACCCATAAAACACAGAAGAACTTTCTTACCAGATACTCCATGCTCTTAGCTGAACACCTGACACATCCGTAGCTTCCTACAGTATCAAGGGAAAAGCTACTGGACCAAGTGCTTGTTGAAATAGATAACTGGATCTACACACAAAAAAGGGAACATGGAAAGCGCTTCAATAAATTAATTTTACAGTTCATACATTATGGAGTGCTACTATATCACACGGAACGGTATCAAAAACACATTTAAGTGCTTTTAAATCCTTCAGTAAACTAAAATAAGCTTAAGTACTTAGTATCACTGTTCATTTACAAGAGCACGTGCAAACATGGAAAAAATACTATTTTGTGGTGCTTTACCAACTTGAAGGGGGGGGTGAATGGAATAAAATAGCACTTGGTCAAACTGTTTCTTCAACCACGAGTAAAAAAACATTGAGAGGGAAAGAGGAGTCATCTGAAGAAAAAAAGAATACATCTACTGCTACAGTACTCTTCATATGACAGGCAAATACCCTGTCAAACAAAGTATGTCTGTTTAACACTGGACAGAATATTTACATTAGGCATGTTAAATGGTAAAGATAATTAAGATAATTTTGTGATTCCTTGTTATTTAGTGGAAAATACCTCCATAGGAATATTCACTTCCAATTTACATCCTCCATCCTCTCCCTAAGGGAAGAGTTTTCTGGCAGGTAAGCTAGGAGGGTCCCCACTGACACTGCAGTCCCTACCTACTCTATATCATCAAACAGATTCTCACTGAGACCAAAGTTAGCTGACTGGATGCAGCACAACATCCAGAAAGGGCTGGGAAAGCATGCAGACAGTAAGTCTATTCTACATACTTAGTCTTCTAATGAAGTGTGATTAGCCTTCTAAATGTATAATTAATGATAAAGTAGAAACGAAATCAAACAAAAACAAAAAACCAACCAACCACCACCCAATACATTTTCCTGAAGTTTTATGTCGCTTGGAATGAAGAGAGTAAGTAGGTAAGCAATACAGATTCCTTTTCTTCTTAACAGCATGTTTTCAAAGTACAACCCCCACCTAAAATAAGCATACCTTATTTTTACTGAAAATATTTTTCTTCTTGAAGGAGAACAGAACAATATCTCTGTATTCTGCCGGATGCTTCACATGAATGTCTTCAGCTCGATACTGAAGAATACGAGAAGTTTTGTTGATTATCCAGTATGGACTGAAGACAGACAGGATCATACGACTTCCAATTCGCCTGATATGTATGTACAAGTCCACTGTCATCACTGTTGCAGAATGTGATGTAAAACATACTGAAAAAAATTCAGGCATCCCTTCATGAATTTTAAGATGGCCGTTCCAGTTTTTGCCTTGGTATTTCATCAACACAAGCTCCATTATTTCCCCATTGATTCTGGAATGAAAAACATCTGCAGCACTCCCTTCCAGCAATTCATGAGCTTCTGCTGTTCCCTGCAATAAAATAATAATAATAGATTTAGTAATATAATAATAAATTATAATAAAATTATATCCCTTCCAGCAATTCACAAGCTTCTGCTGTTCCCTGCTGTTGCCTTTATAAAATTATAAAGGACAAATTAGGCTGTTAAGACATAAAACGTACACATTCACAAAACAGCATTTTATTCTTCTCTTGCAGGATGCTCATTTTTTAGATATTTTTAGCACCATGTCACAACATCCAATCACTTATTTGAGCCTGATCCTATGAACAATCCAGGGTCAACTGCACTTCACTTGTCTAGTCTTTACTATCCTGCAAGATGTCAAGATGACAAACCAATTCCACCGTATCCCCTGACCCAGTTCCCTCCCTCCTCTATGATTTCAAATGGATTTTACAATCACGCTACAATGTGCAGCAACACTGAACTACTCTGCACTTACCTCCAGTAAATATCTCAAGGAGTATGGCAGAAGGTTCCTCACAGTCAGTGTAGGGTGAAGGTGGATAATATATGCAGGATCCCACTCCTCTCCATATGCTGAAATATGGTTTAACTGATCGGGTACTGCTGTTGTGCTGACTATTAGAGGCAAGAAATTTTTCTCGGTGGCCGGACATTGTAACAAACACTTTACTTCATTGCTCCTATGTAGCTCTTCTCTCCAGGCAGTGTTAGTTGTGGACTCTCTAAACTGACCCTCTAAAATTCCCGTTGGTCTAACATACAGATGACACCTATGGAAAGAGGACAGAAACGGTACACAACCGCACGTTGACAGCTAACATCAACCAGTTCTAAGTAACTGCTAACATTCTGCAGGAATTTTGCAGCACATTGTGTAATTACCAAATGAAGACTTTTTTTCTTTTTGCCCAATCAGGAAGAGCTGCAGATTTAAGCTTCCACAGTAATGCTATACTTGTTTATCAGTATTGCAAAGAATAGCCCTATAGAACAGAAAAGAAAACACACCTGTATGAATGTAAAGGAACATGAAATTCCTCTTCAGGCTTGGATGCGCCAATTGGCTCCAGCAATCTATAGTCACTAGTCAGTTTATAGATTACAAATGGGATAGAGAAATGGTTCTTAATCTAGGATCAAAAGATAAAGCCTTCGTTACATGTGTTTAGTAAAAATTACTGAAGGGAAAATTAGGAAGGGTGTCTACGTAAGAGATACACTTCAAAAAGAAAACAACAGGCAACTACATGAGAAGATTATGTTAACTTTTAAATTCCATGAACTGTAAAAACATGTTTAAAATGTTAATTCACATAAAAGGTACATATTCAATCTCAATGTTCACAACACTAAAAAGCCAAATAAAAAAAAACCTAGCTTTTTATTTTTCAGAGAAAAAAATCTTATAAAACACATAAAAAAATAAATACAGTAAATTATTTAATTTGTCTCTAATTAGCTTTTTGGGAAATGCAGTATTTCAAAGAAATGAAACCAAACGAAACATGCCCATGAAGAACAAAAAAAAAAATCACTCAGAAGAACATTTCTTTCAGCTTTTGTTTTTGTTTACCTGGAGAGGAGATCGTACAGTAACAACCTTATTTCCTTCTGTAGCATCAATCTGTACAATGATAGAGTCTGAATGACCATCAAGAAGGCTTTTTATGTTGTACAGTCGTCGACCTGGTTTGCCAATGGGAATGTTTACCACTCTTTCGTATCCTTCCAGTTCTAATCCATAAAAATACACAAGTGTTAATTATGCAAAACATAACTAATACTACAGTTTTAAAGAACAGAACAACATCCAAGTTTCTCTAGACTCAATAACAAGTATGAGAGATGGCTTCTAGCAAAAACAACCTGAAGTGGTATTTGAGAACCTGGGAAAACTGAAGCTTCAAGGCAGAACACTCCTGAAGATCTTAACTTTTAATGTTATAATTTGCATAAGAAATACATCAAAGAATACACAAAAGTATTTTTTGAATGAGTTAAGTCCAAGGGATCTGCGAGACAGTTTATCAATGACCATAGTAAAACACCTATTTTATCCAAAGGGCTAAGAGAAAAAGTGTACTCAGCACTCCCATAACTAGAATTTCTACCTTCTTAAACATGCCAATGCTAGGCCTTGTGATTGTTTGGATTTTTTTTTTTTCCAAATTGCCATCAGTACTCAAAAATAGTTTTAACACAACAGACATTACTGAATTTAACTGAGTCGAGTCACCCATTTTCCCATTCTCAACATATTATACCATACAGTGTTCCCTAGCATAATACCTAAATTTAAAGAGAAAATGGAGCTCTCCTGTCGGTACAAGGCAGACAGCTTTCTGCGTTGAGGAGCTTCAAAAACCAAGTATTCCAGTTCCATGTTCTGACCACTTCCTACAGAGTGCACGTTTTCTTTTTCAGCTGAATTAACAATTCGAAAACTGGAGCCAGGAAAGACTTTGAGAGGAACACCGAGGGCATTTTTCACTATGAAAGGAGCTGTATCTTTAAAGGAATAGTCAAATGTAGATGCAGTCCCTTCTGAAAATGCCTGCAATTAAGAACATTCATAGTGATTATTAACTTAATTATAATTATGTAATCATACATAAATAGCTACAGAAATGGAAAATTTCAAGTCTTAAAGAGAAAGTGCCCAGCAAATAACATTCTGAATTACATATGTAGATATAGATATATAGCGTATATAGGGAAAAATATCTATGTGTAATTATGCAAAGTATTACTTCAGGGAAGACAACTTCCATAAGATTTTTCTGTCATTTGGTAACTTACAGTAAATGTTGATACTGCAATAATTATACATGCACAAGGATTTTTGTTGTTGTTAGCAGGCTTTACAAGAAAATGAAATGGGCTGGGACACAACATTGAAGTCACAAACACATCCCCATCCTTTGTAGTTTACCACAACTTTGGCTTACAAACATCTTTTTTATTACACAAGAACCATATTAGCTGATCTCCAGTGTAGGCTTAGAGTATAGCAAGTATTAGCTTATAAACTGTTGTTCATCTGGAAGTTAAAAAAAATGGACACAAGATACTTCTGTACAAATGGTTTGATCTCTGCTACAATCTTACAGAAAAGAAGCAGGCTGAATAGAAATAAAACCCTCTAATTAACGTAAGGGTTTCCCAGTGCATTTTCTTACGTATTAAGAGAAATTTACTTCCTTTTCATCTTTTCTCCCTCAGTCCTGCACACAAGCACACCTGTTCCTCTAACACAGAAATTGCCTTCTTCAAAAGCTAGTACCACATTGTCGTTCACCCTTAAGGGCTATCACATTAAAATTTGTCATCCATGCCCGCTAACATTTGTCAGGGCTGTAGAACAATGACTAGCTTGTGACTAACGGCACAGAGATCTTCACGGGTCTAAACCCTCTACAGAGACAAATAATTTCATGCTTACCTTGGCTAAATTACTGAATACAGCAAGACAACATTTGGATATTGTTATATTCATTGTATCCTTTGAAGAGATGTTAACTGCAGTTTGTGGCTCAGGAAAAACAATGAAATCATCTCCAGGCATCAAACTTCTTTCTTGGACAGGGTTAGTCTTCATCTACAAGAAAAATTTCATTATGAATGCATTGAACTATTTTTCCTCCTATGTTACAACAGGAAAAAGCATGCACTACACTTAAAACCTTCTCCAAGCAAAGGAATAGCTACTTAACCTTGTAAATCTGATACATCTCAGACAAACTCATCAGTAACATGGAAGTTTTATACCAATTCTGAAGGCAAGTTATTTCATTTTCTAACAACACATGGGTTACATGCTACAGTCTGCCTGTGTACTGCACAAATAACTTCATTCAGAAAAACTTTCTGATGTCAACAGACTGAACTTAAACTTGTAAAATTCAAAGCAACAGCATCAGGTCAATGTTCCATTACATAAAATGATTAAAAAACAGCTCTCTACTCAAACCCAGTATTTACATAGTTTCTAGTACATTTACATACTTCCAGCTTTAAACTCCATTGCTTCTTTCCTCCTTCAATTCTTTCAATTAGAGGTTCCCATACTGCATACGTTTCATTGTAGTAATGAATCTAAAGAAAGAATTAAAATTAAATATGGCATATAAAAACAAAGAACTACATTCCTTCCTATAGCAATTAATATACTATCACATTAAGAAAACAAAGCAAAAACTTCCTCAATCTTTGATACACATTTCAGAGCTCTAGCATTAATTTTTAATAGCTTAAAAAAAAAAAATCAGTACATACAAGTGAAATATATCATACATTTTTCTTTATTGACACTATCTTTAAAAAGCACTGACTATATAGCATGCTCGTAGAAAAACTGAACCAGATAGTCCAGTAATATCATAAATATCTTTTGCTGATATGCATTCTCTGTTCTCTCCCCTACAACATCTGTGAGAGTAGTTTTGGGATAAGAAACTTCAACACTTATTTCCGTGAGGACTAGATTATTCCACAGTTGTAACTGCCATTGGAGTCTCTTATTGATTCCATGTACAGCAGTGCTTTATGGGTGTGAAGTCTGTTCACACATCAAGCTACCTCACAGCTTGGCTACTGAGAATAATCAGAGCATTATGGTGTAAACCAATGTTAGCTCAGCACACAGAAACTACCAAAAATCAAGTTACTTGACAATTAAAACATTTCTGCACCTACCATAAACTGCTAATGATTTGATGGTACCAACCTCCAGTGACATGTCAGCAGAGACTTCCATCATTGAGGACCAGTTCTTAAGGACACCAGAAAATACAGATTCTACTAACAATAAAGGGACAGTACGATGCCCCAGACCACATTCCAAGGTCATCTGAACAGATTTCACTACAATGTCGAATTTCTCTTGTTTCACAGCATGTTCATGGTCCTTAAAAGTTTCTGTTGCTTCTGTAGCTACATCAACACCAAGAAACCAAGCATTGCACTGATCTATAGGCTTCACTTGCCACAAATCTTCAGGAACTTCAGCTGCTCCTTTAGAATCCTCCTCTGTTGTTTTTGGTTTTATGGCAGCCATAATGGTCACCACAGTATTCAGAATTATTGGTGAGATCTTAAAAACAAACAAACATCACTTGACAAATTTTTAAACTGACAAGCATTTAAAACACGATAGATGGAAATAGCAAATAATTCCTCAGCTCCTGATACAGCCACGCAGCACAGATGACATTTAAAAGTTATGTAACTTTAGTTTCAAGACAAACAAACAGAAACTATTCGTGGACCTCCCATTTTTCTACATTTTCTAGTTCCTCCCTCAGAATACCACAGGCTCAAGAATAATATTCACAAAAAAGCATATCAACATGCTTATATATAACGTCACTTTATTAACAGTACAGCCATCAAGGCAGTTAAAGCAAATGTACTGTTGTTCCCAATTTCTGATTTCATCTCTAGTCATTTCTTCAGAACACAAATGATCATTTGTGAATTTATAAGTGTTTGCAAATTATATGAATAAAGACCTTTACTACAGATACACTCAACAATTTACCTACTAAGAACACAGTATTTCACGATATATACCATTCTGAAAATCACATTAAGAGCCTTAAGTTAATACGTACTTCTATGCACACACTTGTTTGCAAGTGCCTCTCTGAAGAGAAAAAACAGTAGAGGTGGAAAGAAAACACTTGTTATATAAAACTGGAAGAAACTAATAGGAGGAATCTTAGTATCAAATATTGAAGTTCGCTCCGTATTGCCAAGAAACAGCCAAAACAATAGACAAGTAACAATTTGCCCAACACAGAGCAGCTCTGACAAATAGAAACACCTATTTCCAGAATTCAACTGCTGTGAAAAACTAATGTTTAGGAGAGGAATATACAGATTAAAAAAGTCTAAGCAATAACTCCCTTGAGAAAACAGAGGTCTTCTTTCAAAGACAGCTTTAATAATCCAACTTACCTTTATAGTAAGCTCTTCTATTGTTACAACCACAGTCTGCAACCCTGAAACATGCATCATATTTTCCATGACCAAAGAACATGGTTGTAACACCTGAGTGAAAAATATAATTTAATCAGTAAAGTAGCTCTTGGATCCTAGCCTTTCAAAATACTTGTATTTTTTCATCCTATAGGCCAAAGGACTACTGATGACATAAATAAGTGGTTTTAGAGGAACAGCATTCTTTCTATATTACTATGCTCTGTACTACTGTGCTTCATTCCAGCTTTCAAATTTGAACTAGAGCTCTTTTGTACTGATTAAAACTCACAAAATTAAATACAGATTAAAAATACATTAAAAAAAAACCAAATCCAACATGCAGGTATAGTCATAAGCCCCCCCAAATCCTTAAGAACTCTAAATATATAAGCAAAGATATCCCATGCAAAATTAACTACACAGGCCATCTCTACAGTTCAACACGCCCACTAAGAGTTCTTGCTACAGAAGTCAAGCCTTCATACCTTCATTATCTTTCATACATTGGTTACCTTACATACCTTAGTTACATTCTTGTCCTGTTTTTCTCTGAGGAAAGCACAAGCCAATACTTTGAAGTCCTTCACTTGAGCAGTCATCCTCTGTGCAAGCTTTCCTGATGTCAGAGAAAAGTCACATTGGAAGGAAACTTTCAAGGCAGGGGCATCAGCACTGGTCAAATTAGCAACAAACACAATTTCTGGATCCATGATCACAGCTTTTACTTTCATATTTGGCCGAAAAGGCGTTTCTGTGAAAACAAGTAAAACCATTCTTGAATATGAAAGGCTTGAAAGCATTATTATATACGTAATATCTAATCTTCACACAGAAATTGTTACTTAGCTTTTATAGGTATGAATTTCATGAACATCTCATCTTTTATAGAAATACTGTAGCATTTCACTGAAAGTCCAAAACCACACAGCACCCAGAATTCAGGAAATTGGTGAGGCATTTTGTCCATTTCAATAAACTGTTCAAAAAACTGTTTCAATATACTGAAGTTGGTCTAAGCACTGGCTCTATAAAGCCATGCTGAAAAAATCACTCTTTTCTGATACAATATAAAACAGAAGGTTCACTCCTACCACTCTGCCAAAATCCCCCAAAGAAAAAGGGAGCTGATGAACAGGCCAGATCACATAACCAAAAAGGTCTGACCAAAAGCTAAGCAAGACTGGCAATCACTCAAACAAAACCCAACTAAGAGATGATCTCTTACCTATTTCTCATCATACCATAACTTCAGTGTTTAACAAAAAAGTCTTGACTTAGTTTTCCACAACTTTGAAATAACATATAATTATCATGCTTTTAAACAACAGGACATAGTTCCAAAATTCTCAGCTTGCAGATGTGTAAGGTACTCACTGCTTCTCATATTTGAAGAGCAAGTTGTTTCTTTTTACTTTCTTAACTACTATCCACACAATCCATCTTACTCTATGGATGCTTTCTTTGCAGAAATAGGTAAGAAAAAAGAAAAACACTTCAACAGTAGTAAATTTTAATATTTAGTTCAGCTGGAGAGCACTTCATTACTCGACACAACAATTAAGCATTTACTACTGCACACAGTAAACTACGGCTTGAGTGGCCAGTTTATACACTGTGAAGAACAAACCAAGTCAGGTAGCAAGACGCATCCTGAGCACTTCTGGATGATTTATTTTCAATATGAAATCTGTAAATAATATTGGGGGAAAAAAGGCAGTTTTACAGACCTGTTTCTGGCTTTGATTTACCAGAAGTAACATTCTTCAAATGGAGTTGTGTTGATCTTTCTGTTGAGGATGTTGGCATGGAGTTAATGAAAAAATCTGCTACTGTCAACAAAAACTCCATACTGGCACACACGTATAGCTTGTCAAGGATAGCAACAACTTCAGTTCCATTTTTATCCTGTTTGTAACTCAAATCTATCATAGAACTGTCATTCGCGTTATCTTTCTTGTCTATCATTCTGGAAAACAAGTTTAAAGTGAATTATTTCTGCTATCATAACATATTAATAGAGAAAACAAAGGTGCATAAATAGTACATTTTTCCTCCCTTTGTCTTTTAAAATACAGTTATCAAATACACAATCTGTGTTGTCTACAGAAAAATGATACAGACTTTCGTCTAACAAGCAATTTGAATTTAAAATCTGTTGTACAATTTGGGAACTACATAAGCACCATTTAGCCATCAGACCAAAGTTTCAGGACACAGAACTCTAGCTGAGACAGAGTATACACTACTAAGCCGTTCTACATTGTAGTACTCAAGTTTCATGGTTATTTTTCATTTTGGATGATCTAGAAAATCAACATATAACAAGTTATAACTGTTTAACATTATTAAAATTACATCACTAACTGCATTAGGGCACAGCAAGACTGACAGTCCTGCTACATATTAATGCCATGTGAAGCAAAATATGAAGGAAAGTCTTCTTCATAAACTGCACAGAATTTTTTCATTTCTTATCCACTCATACTCACCTTGCTGTCACATTCTGAATTCCTTCTCTGAGATCATCCAAGGTGCATGCCTTAAGTTTAACATTCACATCCATTGAGCCATCAGAGAGTATCTTCCCTGATGATGCCATGAGATGTAGTCGGAGTTCACCAAGGCATAATTTCTCATTATGCAGTGGAAGCAGGGACTTCTACATAATAAAAGTCAGTAAAACTAGTTATTACAGAACTAAGTATTAAGCACAATTCTTGTGATACTACTCACTAGATGCACATTCTGATCTGCAAATGGCAGAAGCCATCTGATATAGTCATTCCTTTAATCATACAAATGAATCTAAGAAACTAACTGAAAAAAATATATAACAAACACGTTGGGTTGTAATACATGCCATTTCCAGTAGTTGTTCAGAATGCATGATGCAATGATACTCCAGCTAACTCTGAACCTCAGAGGCTCCCTATATACTCATCACACTAACTACATTTACAAGCAGGAGCTAAGGATTAAACTGAAAATATACAAACAAGACATTTAAATGAAATCCCATTACAGCTTCCTTTCACATCCCCTGAAACAAAAAGCAAGTTACTGTATTACAGTTGCATTAAACACAAGCTACCACCCATTTGCTATAACCAAAGCTTAAAAAGAATGCAGCTTCTTAGCTAGATAAAGGCTATAAAGTCATGATAACAAAGCAATATTACATGTTTCTCTTCTGCTTTCAGCACAGAAAGGTTGTCTGTTAACTGTTTACACTCAGGACTGTGTAAGACAAAACTATGGATGGCATACAACACATTGGGCCCACTTACTAACTGTGTAAGAGTCATGAACTGAACTGGTATCATGAAGGCTGGCAACTCCTACAACTGAAGATCTCATTTCATAGATCTGACAACTGGAATCAAGCTTTGAATGACCAAAAGAGACATTGGGTCATTTTGGTTGGTTGATTCATTTTTTTAACTGTGAATTTTACACTGACATTCTTCAAATTCAGGTCATTTTCTGCTCAAAGTCTTCAGCTTGCAGGATAAATTGTATAGGATCCTTAAGACAAGGATTACAAAGCATTACAACAGCAGAAATTCTCTGTTTTACTATCTTCAGTTCTGCCCACGTAAGAAGCAAAAGTTCCCCACCCCACCAGTGTAATAAAAGCTTTGTTACAGACCTGATCCATGTCACTATTGTAGAGAGTTACTGAAAGTGACTCAAAATTGAAGTCAAATGTAAGCATTGTATAACATTCTGCAGAAGACTGAGATGTAGGAATTTCTTCTTGTCCTAAAGAAGAGAGCATGTTAGTGAAAAGCAAATATTTGCATATTCCTTTAGAATACTGAGGACAACTTTCCAGGTTTGCTTTTTTTTTGTTTGTTTGTTTTTTAAACCAAGCTCAGAAAGTGATAAAAGGAAGAAAAATCTAACTCAAAAAGACTACTCATGATGATTTGCAATTTTATATATTCTATAGGATTCTGCCCTCTTGAATGGTTGCTACCTATAACTCAGTGGTTTAAGAACTTCTAGCAAGTTGTCATTAGTTTACTGTGGCAGTTCCTCACTTGTTTTAATGAATAACATGAATAACTACAGCAAATATCATTACTATTAACAGAGCATTCATTGCTCTCTTCCTTCTAGATTCTTTCCATATTATAGCATTTCAACTACTAGCTTAAAAAAGAATGATTTAATATTGAAAGTTGGCAAAATGTTAACATTAAGGACACATACTGTTTACATTAATGCACACTTAAGATATTAAAAGGCACAATTATAAAAGCCCAGGATGTAACATTTACATTCTAGGCAGCTTGTTTCTGTTTTATCTTTTTTTAAATCTGAAACTTCAGCCTCTGATATAGGCCAAATAATTCCACCCTATAAAAGATAACTGGCAAAATAAAAAGCTACAATATTTATATATATGTGTGTGGTTTTTTTTTTACCATCAACAGTTTGCATTCCAATATTTTCATACACATCCTCTAACTTTTCATATAAAAATTGATAACATTAATAAAAAGTTTATTTATATACATTGAAGCACTTCAGATCAATGATGCTTGAATTTGTCAGCAGTCCTCTCCTTGAATCTATTCAGTTACAGAATTTAACATACCGTTAGAGATATCAGATTCATTTGGAACCTTCTCTTTCTTAACCATCTGGTTATCTTCAATGCTCTGCTGCAAGGTATCTGGCTGGGAAGAAGCCCCTCCGAGGTTCTCAAGTAGAATTTTCATGACAACAGCTAGATCACCTTGAGTGAGAGCTATCTGTAAAGCAACAAACCCACCACCTCAATTTTAGTGACGCTGTTTCCTTTCAGTACAGAACTCTATCAACAGCATACAACAGACAATATGTCAAGTCCACCATAAACATGTCAAGTAAGTCAAAAAGATCCTAAACAAAACATCCTAAATTCTAACCAAAATGATTTAATAAATGATATCTTAAGAAGAGATCATTTGTTACGAACAGGAGTTACAACAATACTACATATGTTAAATCCTTATTGGTTTTGTGAAGGTTCCTTGGTTGCAGAAAGGTATGAACAGCTGCTAAACATCAAAGCTACTTAACAATTCAGTAATAAACAGCCAGATATCATTAAATCCATGAATTACAGTGTATACACTAAAGAACTGTCATTCAAAAAGGAACTTAAAAGTTCCTAAAAATCTGAATCCAATTATAACTTAGCAGGATCATTTAAAAAAAGCAGTAAAAAGTGGAAAAATATAGTCAGTTAGAAAGTAAAAAATATACTGTGTTAGAATATTTTCTTTCTTTTTTTTTTTTTTTTTTTAAATGGTACTCCACCAGTACTGCATTCCTCTGTGCTTCACCAGTGCTATATCTGGCGTCAGTACAGAGGAGCAAAGTAGGTATAATTTACTGTTAGGAGTCCTTCCAGTGCTTTCCTACCTACTTTAATTCTTATGGTTAACACAGTAAAAGAGAAAGTAATCCGCTCTAGCTGTAAAGACATAACTGTAATTTTCAACTGTTATGAATCAGTGACACACTTCTATTGTTGTTTCTAGTAAGTCTACTGAACGTTCAAATAAGCTTTATTTGATTATTACAGCTAAGCAAGTGGAAGTATTATATCTAGATTTATTATATCTAGATTTTAGATGTTAACTAAATAGATAAATCCTATTTAACTTCACTGTTAATCCCAAGGATAGCTCTACAGACACCCCACCCAGAAAAAAAAAGTTTCCCATTTGTATGCAACTACCAAAACTATTCATTATACAATACCAAAACTACAAACAGGATAGCCAACTATAGTTCTGACATGCCATGATGTTACCTGCATTGGTTTCAGATCTCCTTTGATTCCAATTGCTGGGGTTTTATGATACCAAGTTGCTGCTAAATTTCTCTGGACCAGTAAAGTCAAACTCAGAGGACAGAGAATTTCAGAATCTGGTTGAGAATCTGCAGATAAAACGCATCTACAAAAAATGGCATAAGCAGAAAAGATATTAAATATCTGCAAAATCCCAAACAATAGCATTCTCAAAATTATTATTTTTAAACTGATAATCGTGCGTGTGCATATGTGCACTAATGCCCAGGTATGCAGTTAGGAGAGTAACTGAAACCCTCATCATTTCTTTTTCTCCATGAAGTTTTAAAGAATATGGACGTATGTTCATATATAAATGCACTCAAGCATAGCTTGGGCTTTTTTGTTTGCTTGGTTTTGGTATGTTTCCATTATCTACAATATTTCAGTAATAGAATAATGCTGTAAACAGAATATGGACCTGATTTCTTAGCGAACATTTCCCAAGACAGAAGACAACTCTATGTATACCTTGACAGTTTCAAATGAGTTAGCTGCACGTCCATGTTGTCAATGACCGGAGGAAGAGAAGATTCATCTGAAGACACTAATTTAAATTCATTCTGAACCCTGATTAAGCCAAGATCAGCTACCAAAGCATTACAGGAAGTTGAAGATTCAGGAACAACTATAACTGGAGCTTTCAAGTTAATATCCATTAAGAGACGGAAACTCTTCTTAGCAAAGTCTTTCATGCTGGAAGCAGCCATTTCCGCCGCCTGGACAGTGACTGCATTCAGGGCTTCTCGGGCAGTTTGGAAGTTGTTTAGGAAGTTCTGTTGGAAAGTAGTCAAGAAGGTAAGAATTCTAGGAGAGCGAAATAAATCTCAAAAAAAAATAAAAGTTCGAGACAAAATGTAGATTTCAGTTAAAGAAAAACAGTTCAGCTGTGTCAGAAATACTAATCTTCCAATTCCAAGAAAGTTTCTAAGAAAATGACAAAAACACACCAACACATACACAAAGACACTGTTTACTTGATTTTTAAGATGTTTTTAAAGCTATCAACTTCATTCATTACTTGCTTGTGGACATCTCTGCCCTTACTTATTTTTTTCTATAGAACAGTGCAACTTTTAAACTGACATTTCTTCAGCAAAATACTTGCACATGCTTGTACATCAGCTCACCACAAGGTACTGGTGGCAGAAAACAGAGCTGATTAAAAGTTACAAAAACAACTCTTACTGTCAAGAAGAGAAACGTAGCTAATGTCTTACCAAGAGAGACATGAAGAATTGATGCAGATAAACTATTTGGATGCAGCCCACTTTCAGAGACATTTTACCATCCACCTTTGACATATCAGCATAGGCTTCCCCTGCAGTAGCATCTGGATAAAGTGACATTTGAAATCTGAAGACTTCATCTCCCATTATGGAGACAGCCTAGAAGATGAAGACTGTGTAGTCAACACTACCAAGCAGTGAGCTGTGATAGAATTATTGTTTAAGTTATTAAAGGATAAATATTTCCACGAACAAGTCAACAGATAACTACTGTCATCTCACTAGATTATCAGATGATAGTTCTATTTTTAACTTACGCTAATCTTCAGAATTAAAAATATGTTTTTACTGTCCTGAGATACAGGAAATAAACCAATGAAACTTTGCTTATTTGATGCATTAAATCATACTTGATATGATTCATATGTACCACACAGATAACAACTACAGCGTTTTCATTAAATAGCTTGAAGACTTAAGTCCTTTTGTTTGCTTAGAATCCATGCAATACATCACCTTTGTATGGATTGTTTTTGGATCAACATTTGTAATTATGATGTCCTCAAGTCTGGAAAACACTTCTATCTTTTTAGTTTTCACAGCTACAGATGCATCCATTCCTGATTTGAAACAAAAGGAAGAAGACAGCCATTTATGAAAAGACATTTATGAACCAAAAAAAAAAAAAAAGCAAAAATTGTTAAGAAAGAAACATTATTACTGAGTACAAAGAAAAGAGCTTAGAAATCAGAATTCTGCTATGTAACAACTGACATAAAGCTCAACATAGAAGTCCTGACCTTCTACACATGAAAAATCTGCCAAAATACACTGATTTTAAAACAGCAGTTAAAATAAATAAATCTTCATACTGTTAAGGATCTAGCAATTCAAAAACAATTTTTGTAAAACAAACTTTACTGCATTACTTGGAACACTATTATATAATTAAAACATTCATAACATGTTACACAAAGCACATACACAACACACACATTTGCCTATCAGAGGTGTGTGCAAAGGGAAATAACACTTCTTACTATGATTAACTCATTTAACACATAAATAACAAACCTTACCTTGTATTCTAATATCTGCAATTCTACAAGTCTGATCACAGATTGAAATATTGAAGGCATTCAGATTTGCAGTAAGTTTCAATTCACAGATATTGTCATGGGTTGTGCTACCAGATGCTGGATGAGAAAAACAAGTGACATATAAGCTGAATACTGCAAGTGTTTTAAAACAGATGTTACATTTATAATATTGTATTTCCATGAATGTATGTATATATGATTCAAAAATAATAACCTGCAGTTATTCTCTACAGTTAATAAATGATTTGATATGACATGATTATTACTAGTTTTTACCTTCTGGTACAAGTACAGTCATCAGATAACTCAGTCCAACAAGACTGAAGACATTATCTAGCTTTTAACAAAACAGGATACTGAATACAGTCAACATTTCTTTACTTGAAGCATTATCTCACAAGCTAAGTCTTCTTTTTTGTATAGAACAGCAAGGTCAATGTAGTTCTATTTGCTGAGGAAAAAATGTTCCATAAGCAAAATTAAAGGTGCCTTCAAAATTACAATACAACAAATAACCACCATAAACTCAATACCAACAAGATTAGAAAATCCTGAGTTTCTAGACAATACAAACAGAGGAATGAATTCACAAAACACCTTTAAGAAGCCTACACCATAAACTTGTTCTCTTTCAAGGTTAGAAATATCAATATTATAAATAAGCATAAGATGGAGGAGAAACTCAAGAACATCTCTTTGCTTCCCCATGACTCAAGAGCATATGTTGCTTTTTTGGGGGGAGGAGTGGGGTTTTGTTGGTGTGTGTGCACTTTGATATCAGTGTAAGCACTCTTATAGCCTATAAACTGGAGAACAACCTAGTTAAAACACTCATGTTTTGGGAAGGCTTTGATACTGTTTACTGCAACATCATTTGTTTCACTTTATAATAGAAGTTACTATTTACGAAAAAAATAAGGCATAAGGGGATTTGGAGAATTAAGCAACAGCAGAAACATCTTACCTCTCCACCCAGCAGTGTTTTTTTGTTTGCTTTAAGAGAGATTATGTCCTCCACACATACAGTTGAGCATATCTTGTTTCTCACCAAACAGACTGCAATGGTGTCACACGTACTGTCTGGTGAAACCAAAGTCTAGCGGCTGCTATACAACAAAAGCATGGGCTTTCTTTCATGACAATACCTGGTCTGAGGACACTTCCTTTTTCTTTTTCCTCTGTTTGAGACTTGTGGTCTGGTGCTTTATCAGTGCTGGGAGAAGCACCTGATGGAACACTGAAAGTGAGAAAACTCATGATGGAAATTAAAGCCTCTGTGTGAAGTACTATATCCAAACATGAAAAGACGACCTAAAATGAAGGCAGGAAAACAAAGGAGCTTTGTTACTGATTATACAACACCAATTTAATAACAACTAAAAATTATTGTCACAATTAAAATTCAAGTCTTGCTTTTCAGATGCATACCATCCTTCCTACCTCCTTCAACTTAACACCATACAGAAACTCTAAAGTAGATGAGGGAGCTATGGAAAAGAAGCTTAAGAAAGCTACAGAGTCTGCCTCAAAATCACTATTTAATGTAGATAAACTTCTTCAGTAAGCTTTTAGTTCTACTGCATTTCATTGTGGACTACAGAGCACTTTGGCTCAGGTCTTCAGAGCCAAGTAAATATATTTCAGTAGAAATTAAAAGAAAAAAAAAGATTCAAAATTTGAGACTAGAACAAAGTGTAACAAGCACATTCACTATTACAAGTACTATTTGAAAATATAATTTTTTCTGATACGCTAAGGGATATCAGCTTTCTTGACTCTCAGTGAAGTAGATCAACCACTACAAATTCCATATAGGGCTATCAAGAAGCAAGCTTCACCTAACACAATTACTTCAATAGAAACATTTTTCAAAGCAACAATTCCCATAGTCAGCTTACTTTAGCAATCACTGTAGTGATGAAAAACTACACATCAGTAACTGCTTTCAAACTCAAAAGCAAGCAGCAATGACTGAACACATCACTTCTGAGAATGCTCATAAGATCTCACAGTTAGGAACCTCCAAATTCTGTAATACCTGGCCTCGTTTTATATGCTGTCAAGTTTATGGTTCTGTAGGCAGGGTGGGGGAAAGGGGAAGGAAAAACTCATAAATCCTATAGTCAGAAATATGTCCTCAAAAATTTCAACGAGCTAGAAGCCTATAGCTTCTATTGCCAAGCTCATTAATTAATCAGTAATAACCGTAAGTAATTTCTTTCCCCAGATTTTTTTTGAAGTAACAAAATACAAAGTAATAAGTTCTAATGATTAGGAAGACTTCTTTTTTCTCTTCAGTAACTAACAAGTTCACACAGATATTACTATTTGAGCAACTTAACATTATGAAATACATCCTATGCTTACATCAATGTTTTGCTTGGTGCTATTGTAAATAGTAACAAAATCAGGTCCATCTTCATCAGCCTGAAAGAGGAGAAAAAAAAGCCAAGCACACAGTCAGTTTCTATTCCATCTACCAGCTAACTACTCCTCAAATGTTTTTTATATGCTGTAAAGACTGCCTATCACTTAAATAGACAAAGACAATCTCAGCTATTAATTTTGCAAAGGTACTACTCTGTATTTTTTACAAAGAATGCATACAAACATTTGGGTTACACCATGCGTCCAACTCGTTAGTTTGATGTTCTCACTGTCCTCTTTTTTGTTTTAATAAAAAATACTTTAAAATTTTGTTAGTTATATACATTAACCATACCATCTATTTTATATGCAGCTCAAGACAATTTCTTTTCATTAGTGTGGCCCAGGTAAGATGAAAGATCAAACATCCATGGTGCACAGTGGTTTCTGTAAGTGTGTGTTAACTTACAAAGCCAGCACTATATGGATGCAATGCAGAGCAAAAAAGCGATGATAAGAGGAAAAATAGGTATCTAGGAGAACTCTTAAGCAAAATATAAATCTTACAGGTTCTAAAACAAGCAAGAAAAAAGATCCCACGTAGGCTAAGTATGGAAGCTTTAATTTTATTCCCCAAATAATCTCAGTTAAAAAGGTATTAAAACCTTAATGTATTCCATTTTCAGAAGAGGTTCGTCTGTCTTACTTGAAGAGTTAATAATACAGAGAGGATCTCCATTTGAGTCTGTAAATAAATAAATAAAACACTAATTAATGGAAATGCTTTCCATTCACAAGTTTTCTTCCACCCATGGAATGCCTCCATTATAAATTACATTTACTGGAACAGTGGTAGTAAACACAGCTTTTCACTGAGAAGCTGCAGATGAAGTACTACTTGTGAAACGCTATAGTCACTACTACTATTCTACTACTAAGGTCATTAATTTAACTTGGCATTTAGCCTCTTATTTCTTTGGTTTGTTTTGAGCACCCTCTTGCACAAAAGAGGACTGTATGCATTATACTGATCAGTTATCTAGAATACCTACCAGTTATTTCAGTGCATCTCATAGTGATTTTTTTCAGATATGCTGCTGCAGTCAATTCATGATTTCTGATTTTGGTTTTGGTTCCAAGCTGTAATACGTTCAGAATGTGTAATGGATACCTCTCCTTCTGAACTTGCTTCATCAGGGTTATTACAACCTTGATTACAGAAAAAGAATTGTTTATTATTTCAGTAAAACTGCCCAGAAGCATGGCATGTAGTTATAAAAAAATATTACGAAAAAAGTTATTTTGTATTATTTAGTATTAATTTGGCTAGAATATGACTACAGTTTAGTTTTGAATAGGATGCTATGGTCTGAATACAGTAAAAAAAAAAACCAACCCAAACAGATATAGAGATTATAGTGATCTGGAAGGAATGAAGTAGAGAATGGGTGTCAATGTAAATTAAGCTTTTGGTAATAGGTTCAAAAAAGAAAAAGCTGTGAAAACTTTTCTAAACTCATCTGAAAATTAAAGATAACTAGATATAGCTACTAACATTAAAAGTAAAAAGGCCATACTGAGTTCCCCATGTTTAAGTATCACAGATATCTTCAGGGAAAAAAAAAAGGTACTCTGATGATATCTTATCCACGAACATCTCTGCTACTAGATACCGCTTCTGCACTTTTCCTGTAGATGATGTACTTCATCTACAAACACCCTCAGTCCTGTGTTTTTTGTGTTTTTTTTTAAACAATAAAGATATTAGTTCTAGCTTACCTATTTTAGCCATTTTGTTATGAAAAAACTCACTATAATGTTATTAAGGATGAAGACTGTGTGAATGCAGAGAATACAAGAAAAAAACAACTGTTTTTCCCTGTTAGATACATTGTGTATCTAAAGTATTCTATTAATAACACTTCATATCATGCAGACAAAGGAAAAAAATAAAATAAAGGTACTATTCAAAAAATCCTTGCAAACTAAAGCATCTGGGTTCCAGATCTTATTTCGTCGGTTATTACCTCCTCCTTTCAATAATTGTAAACTGCAGCCAATTTCTGATGAACAAAAGAAACAGTAAGTTTTATAAATGGACATATACCTCTTTGATTTCAAAATTAAGCAGCACATTGATAACATCTTCGCTTAATGTTCCTTTTCTCTTTTCAGACAGTATTCCTTCTGGAACACCCTTACTCTGCATCAAGGTCGATTTCTCCATTCCTTTGATTTTACCTGCAGCATTAAATAAATTAGTTTACTTACCAAATTGTTAGCATTCATGTAGCTCAAGAAACAAATTCAATTCTATTTTCCCATTCACATGGCTTAAATTCATTTGACATATGTTAGCAACATTTCCACAAAGCTTTGAACTTTGGAGCAAAAGAAGAATGTAGAAACACTCTGGCAACAAGTTCACTGCAGTCTCAATACCTTGTCACTTCTCATTGGCTAGTAAAATTAACATATCATCTTTCTCAATATTGTTTTAAGTATGACCATTGTCTTTGCAAAACTAAAGAAAGTTTGTATTTTGCATATCATACTCACATCTAAGCTTACTTTCCAGATAATACATGATTTTCATTATTCCTGAAAGCTAACATGCTTCATATTTAAGGCAAGTTATCTCTCACCTTCCTCTTGCAGTATTTGTTTTGCACTAGTTTGTTCTGCTTCATCAAGGTTTTCTGTCAACACTTTGAGGAAGACATTCAAATCCTCTTGACTTATTACAACCTACAAAATCACAGATCACAGTTCTCAGCAGAAAACAACAACAGTTCTCTAAAGTTTTTACTAGCTGTCAAAGTGTAACAAAGTTTTCTAGCAAGACAGTTTTGTCAGCACTGTCATCTCTTCGGGAAAATAACAATAATAATTTTATAGGAACTTACTTAAAGAATTAGGAAGGTAAGGTTGTGACTTCTTAAAGCTTTACTTACAGTATCAACACCTTTAATAACGTACCAGGAATTACATGCTATCTCATGACATTTTTACCTCCTCTTTTATCTAAACATACAGTATACAAATTGCCAAAACACAGAACTTCCTTGAGATCGCTGGAGGGTGGCAGGAAACAAAACTGGAGTTGCTAAAGCAATTATTTGCAGATTTAAATTCCTCTCAAAAAGACACCAGTTTTTAAAAGGCAATGAAAAAGACTTACTTGGAGAACTGGGCACAACAACACACAGTGTAAGTTGATCTTGCCTTACAACAGGGAATAACCAAGACTGCTTGACATCCCTTTAAGTTCTCTCTTTTCAGCTTAAGAAATGCACACAAGGATTTAAGTATTTAACAACACTTTCAAACTTCAGTGACTACGCACATAAGTTAAATGCTATCAACATCCCTGAAATATTCCTCAGCTAACAGCTTGTACTTTGTTCCACTTTTGTGACCAGAAACATACGTTAGCCTTACACTAAGTAGCATTATGAGCTTCTCACTGTCTTAATTATATTAAACTTACATTCATTGTATCCAGATACCCTGTGATCTCCAATATTGGCAATTTGTGAAACCAAGTTGCAGCTAGATTTCGATGGACAGAAAGGCTCAAATTAATTGGGTGAAGTATCTGAATGTCCTGATGTGATAAGCCTGTCTCCATAGTGGTTCTTAAAAGAAAGGAGAAAAAAAAAGAAAAAAGAACATTAAAGAAAACAGTTAAATCATGCTATATATATATTTTTTTTTTTAACTCAAAACATACTAAAATATCATGTTTAGTCTCCTTAGGTATATATGGCTTCCTAAGCAGGGCAATCTCTTATTTCACTTCTCACCTATTTGTTCCTAGGTTAACATGTTAGTATGAGAGCTGTCCCCAAATTAATGCCTCTGATTTTATTATGTGGGCCTACGATGTCAGAGGCAGATGATGGTGGTATGACAGTGTAGGCTGAACCTTCCCACCAATATTGTTACATTTTCTTGCCATGCAACAGATGGTGGCAAAGGGGCAGTCTGACATAGGCTGTCTGACATGCAAGTATGGATGAAGCAATGGTGTGGGATTAAATTCCTTCATGTGGAAAAGATTCTGTCCACTGACATACATCACTACTAGGTGAATGCTTAGTGAGAGTGGATGTCAGCACAGTGAGGTCACGTGTGGCACATTTCATCAGTGGTGACAGTGATACGAAAGACAAGGCCATGCAGATTTTAAGGAGCACATCAAGCAGGCTCTTATTGATCACATGTGAAGAGGTATAGCTAATGATGACAACTACACTGAAAAAACAGCTTTCTGTAGTTGATAATTTGCTCTACCAAACAGCATTACTGTGCTCTTTGCGTATGTTGTATTTCCCATGGAAACAAATGGGAGACATTACTTTCAAATGACATATTTTAACACCAAATATTTAACTGCCACTAACCACTATTTATAAACAAGTAGATTAGTGCCTTACAAAGCATTAATATTATCAACTAGCTAAGGCATTACTTGATGAAATGCACTTTACCTAGACAGTTTCAGCTTAGTCAGCTGCACATCCATTTTGTCAATGACTGGAGGAAGCAAATTGCCTTCTGGAGACACCAAGCTAAACTGGTTCTGAACCTTAATCAAGCCAAGATCTACTACTATAGCATTGAAGGAAACTGAGGACTGAGGAATGACTATAACTGGTGCTTTTAAGTGAATGTCCATAGCAAGTCGAAAGCTCCTTTGAGCCAGATCTTTTACACTGGTAGCAGCCTTTTCTGCAGCTTGGACTGTAGCAGCACTCAGAGCCTCCTTAGCTGTCTGAAAGTTGTTCAAAAAGATCTAGAATAAAGAGTTGAAGAGAAAGGAGAAATACAGCTATAAATAGGGTTTTTTCTTTTTTAATCTCAACTAATCTCTCATTTTACAACATCAATAATAACCAATATCAACTAAAAGTTCTGCTGCTTACTGTGTTAAATTTTCCCTGGGGCCAGGCAACTGAAAACCTTTTCTCATGATATCTGTTACAGGGCCAGAAATGTGCTAACCAGTACAACCCAATGATTTTTGAACTCATCACTTTGCCTCCATTTCCCACCCATATTATTGGCAAGGTTCTTTTATCTCATTACCTTTCAAGGAATACGTTGTTTTTAAAGCCCCTCTATTTTACCAGTAACACTTACTGAAGTCAGTAGTTAGTAGCAGAGAACCCACTAATGCTTTACAAAAGTCAATATTTAGAATATTTGACAAAATGACAAGTGATTTACAGTGATTAATTTGTAGTTCTCATACGATCTTAATTTGCAGAATTTTTTTTTGTCTCCAGTGTTAACTCAGTTACATTTGCAATGGCCTCAGTTTTTCCCTGGGGCTGGGTGCGAGAATTGAAACGCCTTAAGAGCATAGGTGAGTAGAGAGGGCACAGACCAGCCCTCTGGCATTTCTAGAGCATGGTAGTTTTTGACTTCCAAATCAGTTACAGTTGGCTTATCCAAGTTTATAAGTAGTACATAAGGAAATTTAAGCTCACTCTTTCAGAAACTCAAGTTGTAAGTCTCTCTGAGGTTACAGATAGGGAAAGCTAATGAATGCATCACAAGTCACATAAAGAAAAAGGACTTACCAGCAAAGATACAAGAAATTTGTGAAGGTATACTACTTGAATACAGCCTACTTTCAAAGATACGGTACCATCCACTTTTGACATATCAGTATAGGCTTCTCCCTCAGTAGCATATGGATATAATACCAGACTGAAACTGAAAACTTCATCTCCTACTATAGACACAGCCTAGAAAGAAAGAAAAAGTAGATAGCAACTATCAGTAGCTTTTAAGAAAGCACTAAGAAGAAGCAAATATATTGTCAGTCTATCAGATATGCTAATAACATAAATCTTCTAAAGGAAAGTCTATTTGGACAACAATTCCTCTGGTACAAAAGCCTTCATTCACCACCTCAAGTGGGAAAGAGGTATTCATGTGAAATCAAGTATTTTAAAGAATGGAATAAAAATATGCATTACATTTCACTTGCACACACAAAATTAATGAAGAAACAATTAAGACTTAAAAACTTGTTGTACTTTTTTATGAAGGGTCCTTGTATCAACATCTGTGACAACTATGTCTTTAAGTCGGGCAAAGAAATCCGTTTGATTTGACTGAAGAAGAAGAGATGAATCAAGACCTGTCAAATGAAAGAACAAAAAGTAACACCTAATTTTGGGGCAATGGGGACAACACAAGAAAAAAATTGATAAGACTTTCCCCTCACCATTCCTAATTAAGTAATATTGCTACAAAAGCTTCTGTTGTTCATCCCATATCAAATTAAATAAAAATCTCAAAAAACACGGGCACACACATATATTAAAAAAAACCTGCAAACACTTGATTTCTTCCTTCGTTTTGAAATTAGGTCTCATGTAATTTACCATTTCTACAACAAGGGACACAGTACCTAAGAGCTCTATTATATCCAAGGCATATGAGACTTATAGGAAAAAAAAGGAAACAACAGAAACAACCCAAAGAGGAAAACAAGGAAAAAACACAAAAAACACAGCTGCTTTGAAATTAAACTACAAGATCAGTACTAACAGAAAACATAGTACCTTGAATCTTGATTTCTGCAATGTTCTTTTTATCATCACAAAGATTTAAACAAACAGCATCCAGCTTGGCAAAAATCTTGAAGGCAAAGACATCCTTATCCTTAGAAGGTCTCGTCACTAGAAAAGATAGAAGGCGTTTTTTCAAAGGCACAGCACACACGTTTTCAGTTAAACTCCCAAAAACACAGGAGGCCTTTTTTAGTTTAGTGACTGATGATTCAGTATGACTTCCTACAGATTCTTTCATCTCTTAGCATGTTAGAATCTGCTCCTCTCTGGAGCTATTATCTTAATATATTTTTTTAGCTCTCTAGGAACAGTAGAATTTTCATTAGGCTTTTCTCTCCAACAGTCCTCCAACCCACTGCGGCACAGCAACCATAAGCCATGATCCTCACCCAGCTAGGCAAAACTCATCAGATTCTCTAGTATTTCATCTTTTTGCCAACATACAACGCATCCATCCAGACCCATCATTCTGACAAACACAAGGATACCTTTCTTTAATGTAAGGTCATCTCGTTGCTTTTCTTCTTTAGTTGACGTCTCTCTGCTGCTTCTACTTCCTGATGGACTAACAGTTGCTAGAAAACTGACAGCAGACATAAGGGCCTTTGTGTGCAGCAGAATGTTAAGTGATGAAAAAGCTACCTGTTGAAAACATGAGACTCCACATCACAAAGTATTGGTAACAAGTAAAAAAGCACCCAAAGGAACTGTAATTCCAGTGGAAAGTGCAGCAATGACAGCATAGTAGAGAAGTCCCAGGCTGCAGCAAGTAAGGGTATACACAAACACAGCAGCTATGGACACAGAAACAAAAGGAAGAATCTGCTCACCCCTGGAAGGCCCCAGGTACACAGGGATCTCTAATAAGTTACTCTTACCTCCACTGCCAACACTTAAATGAGGTCTGGGAAGGGACAGATCCTGGCTCCAACCCTTCAGTCACTCAGGTATATTACATTGCATGTACCTGAGCTCCCCTGGGTTGGTTCTCCCTTCCCACCAGGTGATCAATCACTGTTTCAAGCCATAACTTAGCATTTCTACTACAGGAGCATAACAATTTCTTAGAAATTGAGAAGTTACACATATCACCAGCAATAGATAATAAAGGGAAGAAAATTTTTTTGTAAAGCAGAAAAATAGTAGGCTTGGAAAATAAGTCAATCTGAGAACAACTCAACAGCCATAACCACCTAAGCTATTGCTTCCTCAGTAGAAGAAGGTTGAAGAAGGCAATTCCTTCTCAGAAGACTAATTTAACAAGACACATTGGATTAAGGTAGCCTAACTTAAATCAGGATTCAGTTCACTCAAGCACTATGCTCTGTCAAACTCAGATGTGGTACAAGATAAAAGGATAAGAGGCAGCTGACTGCCATATAGATACTCAGGATAGAGAAATTTCTAGGCAAACAGATTAAGGGAATCCAAAAATATGGATAGACCACCTGCCTTGTAGTTTAGCAAACCACATTATCAACTTGAATCAGCTTGGAATAGAAAAGAGCTCAAATCTAGTTCTTACAAACACATAAGCCTTACTGAGGAGCCAGAATGCAACACTTAACCACATAGAGTAAGTGGAGTTGTTTAAATATCAGCACTCTCCCGTAGAGTAAAGTCAGTCAGTTCCATTCACTAACATTGAAATAAACATGTCACCTCCTGCTGGAGCTTCAGGAGCCTCTTCTTAAAAAAAAAGAAAAAAAGAAAAAAAAAAGTTCCAGTATTATCTGGGCTTCCCTGATAAAATCTGCAGATACTCTAAAACTATGTGGCTAGCAGTGCTCACTACAGGGGAGATGGACTAGATGGCCTTCAAATGATTTCAAGGCTGGAAAATATTTGTCATGGTGTTCAAAAGGGAGGGAAATACCTTTCAGAGAAGTTATTTCTCATCAATATACTGTTTTTACTTAGAACAAACACTCAAAAATATACCATTAGTACAACAACCAGAAGCTAAGAAAGTACATATTCACTGTCATTAATTACTGCAATATAGGATGATGTTTTTAGAGATTAAGTTATCATTCTAGAGAATGAAAGAAGTGGAAAATATATCACAACAAACTTCTATTTCACAGCAAGAACTAGAACAAGTTCCCCTCTCAAACAAAAAATAAAACACTCTTAAATGTACACAGACTTCATGGCAAATTTGACCAGAGTGCTGATTACACAGATCACATAAAACAAATATTCAATTTGACAAGAAGCAGAAAAACTTCACCATCTGCTACAATTTTCCAATATTAACATTTTATATGCTTGAGAAGATGACACACACTTATACTATTTTAATTTTATCCACATTAGCTTGTAACTACACAGATGTTCTCCACAGTTACAAAATAGACCAATATATAGCTCTTACATTAAGTGTATAAACATTGACACATGCTTATGAACTTTCAGGCTTCATGGTACAAAAGGAAGGAAAAAGAAAAAAATCCCTACTCACTTGAATCTTCTGTTCAGTGTTGTCAAAACCGGTGTGAAAGTGTGGACCATTTTTGTCAGCCTGAAATGAACGATTAACATAGAGGTTGTTAACTCAAAGCACCCTCCAGGCTCTTAAAATACAAAATATAACATATTCTGTAAATAGAAGGTCAAAGACTTTGTTATGTTTACACAAACAAAAAAATCATCCTTTAGAAAGATTAACCTTTACCTTGATATATTCCACCTTCAGAAGGTCTAAGCCAGGCTTATCTGATGAACTAATTAAATGAAGGGGTGCTTTTTTACCTGTAACATACAAGAAAACAGACCCAGAATACACATCCGTTAGTCAGATTTCTCCTTTCAATGAGCCAATGGCATTTGTGCCTTGAACACAGGGGTTAGCTTTCAATGCAGTTTGTTAAAATCTACTGCCCCATGACACATGCATCAGCGATTTGTCTTCAAGTCTAAACCAGCAAGTCTGTATTCTCTATCCCAAATTACTTATTTATCTGCTAAGCATTAAAGTGGCAATCCACAACTGACAACTGTACAACTGAGACAAGCACTGCCAGTGGAAAGTTGCATAATACTGAAATATTGTGCCTGTAAAACTAGAGCAATGTCTGAATTTTAAGGAGCACAGAAAAAAAGAGAATTTCAAGCTACTATAAATATATACAATATATTACTCCTACATTACCTCCAATTTCATAGTAATCCAGGCTTATTGTCTTCAAATATGATACAGCTGCTAAATTAAACGTTCTGACAGTTGCTTCTGTCCCAAGATGCATTACATCAAACACAAGTACTGTTTCCTCAGTTTTTTCTTGCTTGGTGAGTTCTAACAAAACCTGGATGAATAAGAAATAAAGTTCTGCCTTCTTTTTACATAGAGTGTTTTCTTTGCTCAAATCAACAATTGAAGGAATGCTAGTAGTATTAATGCCTGGTTTATATCTGATGGTCACAGACACTTTATGGATTTTGCTCTTTGTAGGTGACCTGCAAAGTTACTTGCTTTGTAATTCCATTCCATTTCTTTTCTGGGGAAGGGATAAAGGGGGTGCTGGTGTCTAATGGAGAGCTGAAGTATTTTTAATATAAAATAACAGTTCCAGGAATGGGCTCTTTAAATTTTTTTGTTGTTGTTTGTGTTGTATTACACAACTTGTACACACACGTGAAGAATATATATTTTATTTACTCTTTTCAGTGTTTTATAAATAAAAATAACTAATATATACACTCACACACTTATATTTTTACTTCAGTAAATATGTGTCGTGTGTCTATAAACTTGGACAACAGTGGTAATAGAATAATGGGTTTTCTTATAATAAATAGTCTTTATATAGAAGATTAAGATAGAATTAAAAAGACATACCTCTTTAATTTCAAACTTGAGTTGAAGATCTGTCAGTTCCTCTTTAGAAGATTCCTTGCTTCCTATTTCTTCTCCTTTTCTTAGTGTCCTATCGCTTTGTTCACAACTTTCTTCAAAATCAAAATATTCTTCTTCAGAGTCTGCAGAACAAAGGTGACCACCTCCTCAGTAAGCTTTTACCAGGAACAAGGATAGATCTCTCCCCATTTCTTACCCATTCTAGTACCACTTAAATCTAATTCGACAAAGCATGCTTTTTACATCTATATTGCCCTCTTCCCATGAAATGAAAATGGCAAAGTGACAAAAATTGAAGCTCTACTGAAGAAAGCACTAGAATTTAGCTGTATAATTAGATGCTAAAGAATCTAGATAAAGGAGGTACAGTTATAAACTCCCAAAGTGAATTTTTCATGTTCCACTGTGCAAATTTTCTTCTGGAACAACTAGGAAAATAAACATTCAAATCCAAAGCATCAATCTAATTTGCCATTTGCTAGTCTTGCTCTGTATTTGCAGAGACAGAAGAGCTTGACTAATGCAAAGCATTTCAGACAGCACTCCTGTAACATTTGCAGCAGTATTTCTGCCATACGCTGGCTACTTATAAAAGAATATGTGCTTTAGATATGTCACTTAGCCTTTTCCATGCACCTAATCTGAAGTAGATGTCTTTAACATCAAACTCTTCAAATGACAGCAGCAGATTTGTTTTTGACTAAAACAGTGTAATTTATTTCTGAAAAAGTTTTCTCAGTTCTCTAAAAGACGTGGCATGACATTTGGGTAACTGTTGGATTGCTAATCACATCCTAATGCAATTGCTATTAACAGCTCACACTACTTATTTTTAAGAAGATGCTTATGCAGAATATGAATTTAGTTCAAAAAAGAAGGTTTCTTTGCTTTTTAAAAAAGCACATGTAGTATTCTGAGGTAACAACAGCATTTTAATAATCTTATTATGCAAGTTAGAGACAACTGTACTCATCCCTACTTCCTAGTAGCATGCTTTAAGACTAATACTTGCCTGAAAATAGTAAGTTATTCCATAAATTCTGCTATGCTCTTTTTTTCTTACCTGACACCATTTCTGCTAAGAAGTGGCGTGTAGGAAGCAACCCTTCGGCATCAGCAGGAATTGTGGGAATAGTTGCTGCCTAGAGTGAGAAGAAAAAAAAAGTCAATTTTTAAGTTTTCATAACTTGGTATGTTGAGCTGCACTTTCCAATGATGATAAATTTTTAAGCTGGTCTTTCATTTATTAGACATTTGAGTTTTGGCAATATTTATACTGAAGCCACCATGACAGTGACAAAGCTAGCTTTGTTTGAATTAGCCAACATGTTCTGATGTTAAGTTGTAATGAAGACACTTTGCACAGTTCAGATGAGCAACAGATCTCGTATTTCAGATAAACAAAGAGAGCAGACATTAGGAGGAATTCATATAACAATCATTTTGATTCTGTTGTCAAAGTTTTATTAGTAGTAGTAGGGTTTCACTTCTATTATCTATATTCAACTTACCTTTGTGCTTGGAATTGAAACAGATGACATCTGAGGCAATGGAATGCTATCAATCAGATCAAAAATTGCCTTGATTTTCTGGTCAGAAACCCTGATATGCATCAAAGGAAGCCCTCCTGACACTTTAAACCTTAAGAAAAAAGAAATCTGGTTCTAAGACAAAAGAAACAGTACACACCAATTCTTGATCTAAAACGTTACTAATATATTAAAGTCAGATCACAGTAAGGCCAGTGAATCTGCATTAAAAGCAAGTGTTGCACCCATTAAAATCAGGTTTTCAGTCATTCATTTAGTTACTTCATTAAATTAAGGTGATCAGAGAACAAACAGTGAAAAAAGGCTCTGTTAAAAACAGTAAGCTAACTAAGACGTTGATGTCTTCAAATTCTGAAGTATAACTAAATATTTTTTTCTTTTCTGTAAGTACACAGTAATTAAAAAACAAACCCTCTCAACATTAGTACATTACTTTGCCATTCTTGTATCTCTTTCCACCATTGATTTTGCCAGCTGTATATGAATATCCATAGGTTGTAACATATGTAAAGTTGATGAATGCTGAAAACGAGCCTTCTTCCAGTCTTCACCTGCAAGTATTAAATCCATTTAGATGAAACTCATTGCTTGCTAATTGCTATAATTAAAATACTGTGAGTATTCAAATAGCATCCCCAGGAAAAGCTGAAGAACCCACTCACAAACCAAAGCAGTCAGAACAATTTGGGTGAGATGTTCTAAGGGCTTTTTAATAGATTTTCAATATTCCTTAACAATATATTGACTTGGCAGTGTTAAGCTCAACTCCACACTAAATGATGCACTTGAATACAAAAAATTTTAAAAAGTAACCTAGCATTTTATCAACCAAAAAACTCAGGTCCAAATGAACTACTACTAAGGCCAACTTCACCCATATTGTACAGCATAGTAAGGATAATAATAGCCCTATGCGTTTATGTCGCTCAATAGCAAAATAAAGAAATAATACACAGACCTACAACCAAACCACAAGCAGATGTTTTAAGAGAAACTAACAACGAAATTCCTCAGCTTAATACCAGAAGAGGTGGCTGTTTGTTTGTTGTTTTGTTTTTTTAAAAACTAATCTGTTTACTTAAATTCTGTTTTTTTGTTTGCCTTTTCTCTTCAAAAACACATTTACTAATTACAGAAAGGTATACTTCAGTAATCCTCTGAGTAAACAGTTTTTTAGTAAACAGCTGATTATTAGTTCAAAAGCATTTTAGCAAACAGCTAATTATTAGTTTAAAAGTGTTGTTTTAGTACCTGCTGTTCCAAAAAGAAGTTGCACATTTTTTATTTCCACATCAAACTTGTCATAAGCTTTGTCCATAATCTCCTCTAAAGATGAAAAACTAGAAGCTTCACTACTGCCTTGATTTATGCTGTTTAGCTAAAAAACATAAGGACAAGTATAAAACTAGTGATGGTGAAAAAGATGATTCAAGTAACTTCATAATAGCCAACTGAATTATTATAGAGAAGATACCTTGATTACTTTCACAATTCTCTCACCAAGGCTATAAAATTCTTATTTCTGATGGTGCTATCAAACCATACAATTTATGTAATATGAAGTCTTATTATTAAAAGTTTATAGCTGAAGTACAAAGAAAATATTTTTTAGTCAATTAAAACCACGTTAAATAATTGTCATTTTTAATTTTCATAGAAGTAACAGAATTAATTTTCAAGATCAAGTAAAAAACATATATCCCCTTATTTAATAATACCTTATTGTAAAGATACCTTATTCTACAGGTACCTTATTCTAAAGATAAGCAAAAGGAAAAATAATCACATTTTGCTGAATATATTATTAATTAAAATATTATTATCATGATTTATCAAAAAAGACAATGTTTCTGGGGCAGGTTACACAGCTAAAGTACATCAAAGTTAATCCAACAGCTCTGAACACTGACAGAACTGCTGACTGCAGATGATTTTTCAAGCATGCTAGGTGAGAATACTTTTGCAGATGCACACCTTCACCTTCTGATATTCAGACAGTTTCACGTGACAGATATGTTAAGAAAAAAAAAAGACTATCTCCTTTTGTGCTTATGAAGAGAGATCACTTATATACCTGAAATGTACCAAAGTCCAAGATCAGCAAATTCGAATTTTCATGGTAGAAACCTGTCTGTGGAATCACAAGGTAGGAAGGTTTCAGATGAATCTTCAAGTCGAGGACTTTCCTCATTTCGATAATATGAACTAATCCTTCAACAAAAGAGAAGGAACATTACAATTGAAATGCTACTCACAAGTAAAACATTTTTCCAGGTCACATATGGAGAAATATTATCTAACACATCTTAAATAAAGGCTGACTTTTTTAAAAGTATGTTTGCCACCTAAACCAACTGCTCTCCACCAAGAGAACACCCATTATTCTAAGTTAAAAAAAATAAAAAAAACAAGGTAAAAAGACATCTAATAATTCTATTTAACCAGCAATCAACACACAAAGTTTTGCAAGTCATATAGAAATATTCTATGATATTCAAGGGTTTGCCTCCGGTGAGATGCCCCTTACCTGTAGCAGTTCTTTCCTTGATTTCTTCAAGCTTCATTAACGTGGCTGATGTTAATCTTTCAAGATCCATTCCCTTACTTGTCTGGAAGAATTCTACCATTGCATTTACTGTTCGCTTTTAAAGACAAAGATACAAGAATTAACAACATATTTTAACAACATATAAGTCATTCAATAAAACTACAGAATAGATATTAACTGAGCAAGAAAATGAAAGCAACAGTTAAAAAAAAGAATCACAAAAGAGAGAACAATTTTGATTACTGCTTACTGCATCATATTTTATTTCCACAGGCTGTGATTCAATACTAAGACTTTGATCAGCAGTATTATCTTCTGGGTTAGTATTAAACTCTATCTTCAGTAGAGAAGACTTGCTATCCCCAATGGAAGCCACAAGAGATGGTATAATGTTTTCTTGTCTCAGGCCTGTAACGTACCAGTTTTCAAGCTTTGCTTCTACCCTAAAGAAGACAGATGGGTAATTATTATTTAAATTAGGACACAGAATAGTTCCATCTATGAGGAACAAGCAATATCAGAAAGCTCTTGACAAAGGAAAACAAGAAATCAAGCTAGTGTCACAGGACTAACAAACCACATGGTTAACTAATTGTAACATGAATAAACTGTGAAGAAATAGGTAGGAGGCATGTTCTTCACAACAACAAGGGTGATATTTTTCTTTCAACTGCAGCTATTAGAAACAGAATTCTTTACAGGGTGCTGGGTCTCTCTCGCTGGAATTTCTATGGGCAACCTCCCCCCAAGTAAATTATATCGCATACATTTATGTGAAATTTGTACAACTTTTCTGGGGGTTGTGATCACACCTTTAATAAAACTGTTTTCAACAAAATATTTCCACAGTTCACAACTGAGCTGGTGGTTTTATGCATGAAGTCAAAAGATAAAGAAACTGCAAACGAAAGCGTGAACAAACGCAGACTCATTTCCCAGACACTGAAACCATTCTTACATCACTGTGTAACAATAGCTTGTGCTCATTATTTCTGGTGCGATTTCCCTTAGAAAAGAAAGGTCTCAGCTTTCCATGTGCTGGCTTATATGTACTACCCACAATTCACAGGTATGGATTTTCTTTTCTATAGGAAGTAAGCCACATCACATACAGTAGTTTGGCTGGAACGTGTTAACTAAACCACTGCACGCTGCTTAAATAATTCCCAGAGATAATATACAGCACTTCAACATATAGATTCAACAAACAACTCATTCACATTCACACAGCAACAAATAATACCGTTTTCCTCAGTCCATTCAATATTATTCACCAAACTGACAATATCTTCTAATTATTATTAAGAGTGAAATTTAAAAAAAATCCATGTAAAAAAATAAATGCAATTCTCAAGAAAAAAAAAAAGGTGCAAGAAGTTTGAAAAAGAAGTAATATTTCTACAAAAGCAAAATATAAATCTAATTACTTAATGGCTTGTGCTCCTGGGCGTTGTGATATTTTTGTACTCAAATCAATTATCTGTACTTTAAGAGTTTCTGCCACATTCTGGTCTTCTTTAATTGTAAGAGAAGTGCTTACCAGCTTCAATGTCACAATATGGGCAACATACTAGCAAAGAGAGAGAAAACTGAAATTAGTCATCTTCATCAGAAAAATTTTTCTGAACTCCTAATTTAAATGAATCTAATGCAATGTGGAGTTATGGCTAAACCAGCAGCCATACATCCACATGCAGTAACCAGGTATACAGAACTTTCAAACCTCACCAGACATTTTTGTAATACAAAACATGGTATTTCAAGAAATGCTGAGTTAATTTGAATTTTTTTTCTTCTAAGAATTCACAAGGGTTTTAAACTGTGAAAGCAAGTGTTGAAAACATGTTTTGCCTATGTACCATTTGTGACTGCATCAATCAGCAGCTTAAGAAAAATTGAACCATACTCCATAATCAATTTGAAGCCTGCATGTTTCCACCTGGTGTTGACAAAAATGAAAGCACCTTTGCACTTCATAATTTGTCTAAACCAAAAATGAATCTTTTCCTACACAAGTGCACTGTTTGCATTTTGTATCTTCTTTGTTGGTCACAGAGCTTGCCACTGCTCTACTCAATCTGACCAACATAAACTCATAGGACTGATCATACAGAGAATACAATGTTGCCACTTAGAATTCTGAGCCTTCCCACGGGAGGCACAATACTAGAAAGATTTGTTTTTAAACCATCCCCATAAAAGTTGTTTACCTGTTTTGGTAAGGAAAGGTGATAGGAGCTGTCACTATAGCCAATAGCAGTAAAAAGCTTAGCCTTCTCTTCCGGTGTCATTAGTTCATTGATAGCTAATAAATAAAAAAATATATACATACATAAATAAAATCCACAAAAGCTTACACTTCAGCTAGCAACTATAACCAATTTTCCTCCCACAAGTTTTCTACTGTACTTAAGCTCTGTTGACACAAAGCTCTATATTATATTGCAGTAAAGTCCACTTTGTAAAGTGATGAGCAGCCTTCATGTATGGCATTATGTATGTAGCACTGAAATTACCATCATTCATATTATGAGAACCCATATTTTCCAACAGTGAAAAGAGTTTTGAGAAGTACTATTAAAAGCACTTTCTCATTTGGATAGAAGATGACCAGAATACACTATTTCAATCGTCCCCTATAAAAACACAGCTAAAAACTCAATACTCTTCTCCTTAGAAGGCTCTGAAGCATTTAGGGCCATCTCAGAAATACTCCCTATTTTCCAACTCAATCATCAGTAACAGTAAATAAAATCACAAAATAGATCAATACTGCGTGGTATTATCTATTTCATACTCACTTCTGTACAGTAGGAAACATACTGTAAGACATACTGTAACTTGCTTCTTTGTCTTCATTCAATCAAGTATATAGAAACTCAGAAGTCTGTTAAAAGTTACTATATTACAGCCTACACTTACTTTCAGGAACAGATGACTCTTCATCTTCCTTTTTACTTGATTCTCTCCTACCCCAGAAACCACTAAACCATCCTCCACTCTTTTTTTCAAGTTCAGTGCCTTTCTTCTTCAGTAGTTTCTGACCTGATCTTATTGTCTACAAAGCAGACATTAAAATATGTAATTAATTATTATGTATTTTGTTTTCCTGTAAATTATGTGTTTAATAGGCATGCAAGGGACAGCAACGTTACCCCTGCAAGAAGGACTATTCTGAGCTTACCTTCAGAATGCTAAGTGTTTTTTTACCTCAACTGCAGACTCCAAATTTTCCCTACCATTGTAACAAGCAGCTCCTTAATAGTGTCACAAATTATTTCCAAAATAAAATGTAGGTTTTATCTACCTCTTAAAAATTCTATCATAGCTGTTGTTTAATTAAATTTGCTGTCCACTGAAAGGCATCAAAATATTTGAAGGTATAGATAGTGTGGTAACAGCTATATACATTTGATTCAAATACCTGTAGAGCTAGTTTTGAAATAACAGAAGTCAAAGGAACAAAACAATCATCAACTGCAGTATGGTACAGACTAGACAGCAGAAACAGTGCACACAGTGGTAAGTACTAGGGAATTGTTTCTAGTTTTTAAACTGATTTATTCCTGTCCTGGAAAGACTGGAAGCTTGCCTTCTTTTTTCCCCATTCAGCCATACTCATCACCACAGATTTTGTCAAGACTCTATAATGATCAATCACTTCAATCCTATTTGAAGTGCTACAACATTACTGAGCAGAAATAATTTCTTACCTCTGCTTGTGCCTGTTGTCTTGCTAGGACTATATTGAAGACATCAAGCTTTTTTTCTAGGTCCTGTAAAAATTTAAGATGAAATCATTTGCTTCTCAGTCACATTTAGGAAAGTCTCACTACTACAATTTCTCTACCAATCCTTTCATATTTACTCTCCAATTTCTCTCTAGACATGCTCCTTTCTCTTAATGGGTACATCTGCTTCTGATGTTAGACAGTATGATTTTTATCTTTCTATCTTGCACTTCAGTAAAAAACAAAAGTTTATTATCCTACAACCAAGGAATGTTAATTTACACATCACTACACTAGAATTCTTTCTTTCCCCACCAGGTTATGTTGGGCTTCTGATTAAAACTGTCTTTCTAGAACTCTTGTGCTCTAGGAAAACTATCAATCTTGACTGCTGTCATGCATATTTAAAGAATTATGTAATCAAGGAATCAACATATTTGCCCTTGAGTGAAACAATGCATACCTGAATTTGTCTCTGTGTTTCTTCTGACAGTTTGTTCTGTGTCAGTTTGTTCCTGTATGCGTTTCTGTAACTCTTCAGAAGCTGCCTATGTTGTTTTATGTTATTCCATGACCACATACGAGTACATCTTTTGATATGAACTTCAAGAACGCTGTCACCTGCATACTTCCACCTACAATAAATTCTCATGTGAGTAATTTCATATTTCATTTTGTGCCCTGCAACTTGGAAACCGCAGGAGCATTTTATTAATATGCAAATACTTTCTTCATTTAAGCTATTCACTTATAAAATTTTAAGCAGTTTCTACTTCACTTCATGAAAAGGCCGATGGCTTATATTTCATGCCTGATGCACTATAAATTTACATACACTATTGACTTCCACATGTTTACAAATCTGGGCTGTAAAAGCATACAGAACACTTAAGCATTTTGATAAATAGCATTAATTCATTATTCAGAAATGGATCCATAAAAAACGTAATCAGTTCAAAACTAAGAACTAAAATAACAGTTGACACGTTTCTCTTGTAATACATGTACTAATTTTTTCTTTAGTTTTTCTAAAATTGTACTCTAACCTCTAGAGAGATCACTGGAGTTTTGTTCAGAGATAAAGCTAACTTTGATCCCAGAGTAAGTCATTTTCATCACCTGGATCTTTCACATCATCTCTTCTGCAAACTATTTTTACTTGGCAGAGCTACATTAACTTATAGTGATATATGCAATGCAGTTTTAAAAGCACATTGTCCACAAAGGAGAATGATAAGACTGGAAAGGACACAACACATCTCGACACATCTCCCAGAGAACGCATGATCAAATGCAACTTACCATTGTCTGGCATTTTTATGGAGAGGTACATTTGGCCTAAATTTTCTGTATGGTGCATTGCGAACCATGTAATCTATGGATTCCAGAAGGTCAATCATGCTGAGGTACTAAATACAGGAAAACAAGTTCCTTAGCAAAAGTTCAGATTTCATTACATGTAATATTTCATATAGAAATATATGTCTTCAGTGCTCCCCAAACTACACAGAAATTTAGGCCTATGCATTTTCATTGCAACTTAAAGTAGACCAACAGCTATACCTATTGCTCTTAGAGGACGCTGCCATCTGAATTTCTGGTTTCCTTAAGAAAAATTAATTTGTTTTGTTTCTCACTTCTACTAGCCTGCTCAAAACACAGTCTTGAACTTTCTCAAATAAATCTTATTTTCTTCCTTTGTCAATATAAAATTTCCCCACGATTGGAACTGCATTTGCACTAATAATATTGGCACAGTTCTCAATACAGACTACATTTGGGAATCAACAAGAGCTAAAAATACACTTAAACTGTAAATTATAACTGAATAAGCAATAACATTGCTAGGGAGCTATCAAAATGAGTTTCTTTGTACTTCAGTGGGCTTTGTTACCAAAACCAGTATACACCACTCATTCCTATGCTTACTTTTACCCTTACTTCACTTCCATTATAGTGTTGGCTTACAGTTTCAGCAGATAAAGCAAGACAAGGGTTAATCATAAGAGATTCCATTCTCTATTCTCTATTCCAAGTGCTGTTCTCACAGCTTCTGCAGGTAACAGGGTCAGAGAACCTTAATCTAAAGGTGGGGAGCAATTGTTACACAAGGATCACATTTTTTAATCACAACTACTGCTACAGCTCCTCACAAACTCTGAAACAGGTGATAACTGACACCAACACAACTCACCTGTGGCTTTGTGAGCTCAATAGCAATTCTCTGTACTTCTACATTACAATCAAGCTTGGGAGTTTTCAGTTCCACTTCTGCATTTGGGTTGATAAAAACTCTTGCAGAGGCTGATACTGGTCTAAAAACTTATAAGATTAAAAAATTGAGATTACTTTAATACAGGAAGCCATCTTAAAAATACTTTAAGCCCGCTGCATGATATATCACTTACTCCACATAATATGATGCGTACAATCAAGACCCACAGAAACAGTTCAACATAGTAAACACAAGCCTAAACATAATGAAGCTAGTATGGATATGCCTGTATGATCAGTTCAGACCAGCTAAAATACTGAAAACAGCGTATATTCATTCACTCCTAGCTTACTTACTGTACTCATAGCCTTGAGGCTGGTTATCACCATATGGAATTCCTCTTTTCAGTTGATCCTGTAAAGGAATATGATACTGTCTAGCAATTGCTGAAGGATATTTACTGTCGGTCTACTTAAAATTTAGAGGACATTAGGAATTTAGAGGACAGTTCAACTCCAATCATGTTTCTGCAAGAGTTTCCCCAAACCTTCACCCCTAAAACAGGACATCTAATGTACCTCAAGTACTTAAAAGTAAAATGTTTTAATACAGCAGACTCAATAAGTTTCTCTCATCAAGTAGAATGTTATTACAATTTAATTCAACTTTGTTCAGAAGTCCACTGAACCTTCATATATTGCATCAACTAGAGTTCATTAATTTAAAACATTCTTGCAATCATGTACATGCAGACATGTAAAGTAATAGATGAAGTATTTGTTTTTAAACTCATTGAAGGTGCTGAGACAATATATTCATAATCCATCCTTCCTCACGTTTATCCCATAAGGAAGCCATTCAAGTTTTCTGGTATTCAGCAGTTAAGAGAGAAATGAAAGATACAGTATCAGGAAAACAATGCAGCAGCCTGAGAGGCATGAGCAACATCATGCTGAAACTGAGTCCTCATTCAAAATGAGGTCTCCTTGCTGTTGCAATTCTTCAGCAGTTTTTTGAGGATGCTATACAAATACTCAATTATTTCATCTAGTTTATGGATTGCAATGGCACTATCAGTTAAAACAGGACACATACTTTTAAAAAGCAGTACATACAATGTAATAAATGAAGGCAGATGAAGTACTTGTTACTGTCATATTTTACAGACTATCAATATCAAGCATAGTTTTTACAAGGAAAATATCTCACAGGTATAAATCTCTTCCAGTAATTTCTTTTTCCTATTTCTTATTTTAAAATGTTTCATATTTTACAAAAAAGTACACATGCTAATTAAAGATATTTGCATTTAAATTTTCTGAACTCTAATAGTGAAAGTAAGCTTTTCAATGAGCTTTAGTGTATAACAGCTAGTCTCACAAACAGCCATATGCTCATGCTATTTAAATATGAAGACTGATGTGTGAAAGTGACAGACTGCTATGGATTACACAGCTTATTCCAACTATGAGGCGGACCAATCAGCTACTGTACTAAATCTGATTTCTTGATGATGCTGCTTACAAGCATGACTAAAATGGCATATCTGGACGGAAGTCCTAGCATTTCAGGAAACAGGATGTACTACAGACAACATTTAAAATGTATTCTAGTCTTTAGTACAAAAATTCTGAAACAGAAAGGACTTAATAGGCAGCTGAGAAGATTTATTCAAGCCATCTTACGCCCATGCCAAATTCCACATTTCCCTCATGATGGCTTATTAAGAATTTGTAAGCATCTCTGCTAAACCAGAAAGGAATAATGGAAAGCACCCTGAGGAATTTAAGCTGTTTAAACAAAGTAAGAGAATGAAGACAGGACAAAGAAACAACATATCCACAGCATCTTATACATACAGTGAAATTGAATTCCAATTTTTAGAAAATGAGAATTACCCTACAACAGGAACCAGAACTAAAATAGAAGGAGGACTTGGGTTTCAAGTTCCACATTAACAGAAAGGATTCAGAATACATTTACTGACTGGCTGGTTTTACCAGTTTTGAACCATGCTTCCTTATTAGTATCAAGTCCATCAAGTTAAGTGTATGCTTTGTTAACAAGAAAAAAATAAATAAATGATAACTGTAAAAGGTTAGGACTGCAGAAGAAATGGAAACAAGGAATATTGTACGAGGATACACAGAACATTTGTATAACATTTATAAACATAGTGTGTCAATAACGCACTGTATTTTGCAGATGTACTTATTCAAACCAGAAGTAAAATGCAGGTAGGCACCATACATCACGTGTTCAGCGTTCTCCACAGCAAAATGAAACACATTTGTGATCAACTAAGATTAGTCATATGTACAATATTCCAAGCCAACTGACTTGTTTTCATAATCCTTCTAAGTTCACTTTCAAAACCTAACCTATTCACTCATTTACTAGCCAGCAGCTCACTAGAATAACTAGTTGCTACTCATTTCCTACAAACAAGCTATCTTTTAACCACATTTATGTAACAGCTATCTGAAATGAACTTAACAGCAAAGACACTTTTGCAATCAAGTACTCCTCAGCTGCAGTACAGAAAGAGGATGTTTGCCCTCAGCTACAATTTATGTCTATATAATTGCCCTATTAGTACTGCCACATTCCTAGTTTCTCTTCAGACTAAGTAAAACTTGTTTTGCTTTTATTTAATTGCTGCCTTATCTCAGGAGTATTTCCTAGGCTTACAACACTACAATTTGCACTACACCACTACTCATCTAGCTAACAGCAACTCAAAACACTAACAAATCAGAAAAACTAGACTTCAAGTAGCTCATACACGCAAACTGGATTTTATCCTTCCCCTGAAATTACCATTTTATTTGCAGCATCGTCTCTGCTGTATTGTCTACCTTAATTATGTTTCACCCAACCTCATTTTCAGAAGTCATCATTACTGAGTTCTACTGAGTACTTCCTATTTAAAGCTGTGACCGTTTTCAGACTTGACAATTGAAGCATATTCATTTCTCCATATCTGTTTCCCATAAAGAGGAGTACTACCTTCAGAGAAATACTACACTAATGCCTCTAACTTTCAAGTCAGACAGTGGACAGTTACTACCTACAAGGTATAGTTTGCCAAAAGTAAAAAGACTGAATTTACTTGATGATCTTGCTCTTCTGTCTGGCAACGTTCTTTGCTTTACTGACTTGTTCTTCAGTTTGGCTATATCATATTGGTTAGTTTCATCTACACAGCTTAGCTATCTTGATAATATAAAGTTTCTGCTCCAATAAGGTTTAATATTCTGAAATTTTAATAACTCCACATTTATTCACTATTTCAGTTTTCATTACAGTAGCTAAATAAGACCTCGTATAGCACAGATATTTAATAAACAATACTGAGTAAGCAGCATGCTAAGTCACACGCTAATAGAACTGACCTTAAAAACCCAGTTTCTGACCATCTCCAAGTCTATAGGAGTTGGTAACACATAGAGTTAACAAAGCATATTAGCTATCAATGACACAATGAATTAACATATGGCCCTGTTATCAGAATAGAGCTGACCAAATGTCGGGGGTTGGGTGTTGCTGAAATTAATATGGCATTGTTTGAAACATATAACAGTCATGAGATGAAGCACCAACACATTTAACTCTACATTACCAGTATTTGTTCATGGGAGCCATGATAATACATTTTGCTGTGTACATTCCAATAAGCACTGAGGCTGTCCAAGCATAAAAGCTGCAAAGAAAAAAAACAAAGCATTCAACAGACTCCATACTCTGTATTCAATACATTCTATGAATTTAGCTTCCACTTGGGAAAAAAGAAAAAAGGTTATACACCAAATGTACTATAAGCTCTGAGACAGATTTAATCTTATAATACCATTTTGAAAAGAAAATTATTTGCTAAAAAGCATGCTCTTAAAGTGCACACATTCACACACACTGATAAAAGGTAACTGGGGTGGAGAGGAGCAAAAGGGCACGCTTCACTATCTGAATTCCAAACATTTTACATATAGACTAGAATAGGAAATGGTAATTTGACAAAACTATTTGAAATCATAGTTACTACACAGATTTCGTCTTGCTGTGTAATGTTGTTTATGAGCAGATCAGTATTTGCATTGATTGCTTAAACCATGAAGTAAAAAGCTACACCTCACTGAAAGCCAGTCTTTTTAGTTCTACTTATTAAAAAATTAAGCAAAAATACAAAATATTAAGTAAAATACAAGAATTCACAAACAGTTTTTCCAATTTTTCTCTGTATACTACATCATGATGCATACTACATCACTCCAATAACAGTTGCTAGCTACACTTTTTAGCCAGCTAGGGAAAAAAAAAACACATTACCTTGTAAATTACTTTTGTAGCATCACTTAGAATTGAAGGTTGCCAGTTCTCATTTGTTGTCTAAAATTTCAAAGGGACAAAAGTCATTCCATGATGTATCTTAGCAACCACATCTGTGGTTTTATACTATTTTTCCAAGCACAGAATAAATCACTTTGGTGCTACCAGGTTACAGAAGTCAACTTCTCTAGACTGCATACACACAAGTCAAAACCCAATTCCAAATTTGTGAGTTCCTTTTGGCTCTCAACTCCTTATCCTACCCATGAAATCCTATGTATTTATGGCAAACAAGTTAGCTGAGACTTTCTCTCTTCTTTTCTCAGGAGGCCTGGCCAAATACCACTTTCTTCATCATGATGTAACATCTGCCTTAATTTATCTACTGGACATGGAAACAACCTTTCCTATGAAATTAAACACATTCAGTTTTAAAGATCACTTGGAACATAAGAAGAAATTGCTTGTCACAAAATAGCATGATGTTCCTCAGTAATCTTTCCTGCTGCTTGTACAAACACCAAGGACTATTTGCATGGAGAAAAGACTGTCTTACCCTCCATATCAATACTGTAATTGCATTATACTATATGCCTGATTTATCTTTTCTGGTGCCCGATCAAATATAAGTAAATCAAAACCATGAACACAATGCATGCACACAAATATTACCAATAAACTAAGCTCGCCCAATGTCATTCCCAAAGAAATCGGACACTGTGGATCTGTGACCTGCAAAAATAGAAAAAGAATAGCTATTTATCCATACTCATTGCACACTAAGAATCATTTCATTAAAATTGACTGAAATCTTGAGCTGTTTTCCTTTGCTTAATTTTTCTTGCTGAAGCATTCAGTGGGTCAGTACCAATATGGCTGCAGATTAAAGGCTTACGAATTCAAATTTTCTTTCAGGTTTTTAAATCTTTGTAGAGTAAAGAACTGAAGAACTATCAAGTGCCATGTCTCAGTCAACTATATCACTTTCTGATTTCCATTCTTCCCACCACTGTGAATACAGTATCTCTGAAAATGGTTCCAGAATAGCTCTGGGCAATGTTTTATGCCCAATGCTTCCTATCTGCATATAGCTATCTTATCACAAACTGCTTCACTCATTTCCAGGAAGCTGGAATTGGGATAGAATACTACCTATTACCTATTAGTTATTTAACTTTCTGTTTTCCAACTCATCCATAAGTTCATGAGTCCCTGCCATTCTGAATTTTGGTCATTAGAATGAAAAGTTCTGTATATCAACTGCATGAACTACGGTATGACAAACTGTCACCACACACATTTAGTGAGCAAGGCAGCACCAGGCAAGGCAAAATACTTCACATATTATCTACTTCACATATCCAAAATAACTCTAGCTTTCAATTGTACCTGAAGTACTTCATTCTAAGATACACATAAGAAGCCACAGTAATTTTTCAAGATGGTAAATAACAGTTTGTCTCTGTGGACTAGACTATAACAACTGCACTAGAGTCAAGTATAAAATGGAGAAAGCACGTTCCAGGTACTCACATCATCTTCATATTTAATATGAATGTCTGTAATCTTGACTTGGACATTTTTTATAACTTGAGTTGCAAGTTTTTCCAAGAAAGTATCTTTCTTCTCCTCCTTTGGTTTATCTGGAAAATAAAATAAAGAAATAGCACTCAGTGAAACAATACATATTGAGTTTAGCCACACTAACAGCTATTTCAACATAAACTTATTGTTTATTCTAATCTGAATACCTAGTACTCAAGTTTTTAGCTACTTAGATTTTTTTCCCTTTCTGTACATCTATACTGTGAAAACAGTATTTCTGTGCATTCATCACAATTGTAAGAAAATTTATGTTTAAGTTTCACTAACAATAGTGCAGCTTACGCTAACTTCCAGTTTGATTTTTAAGATATACCTCCCCGCACCCTCCAAGGCAGAAGCCCCTTAGAAGTCCATCAGCAACTAACCAGGAGTTTCAATGAGAAAACAGGTAAGAAGGTGCAATTCAGGACAAAATATCCTAGAATACTCAGATGAAGATGATGCTTACATAATAAAGGATCAGTTCATTAGAGCTTTTCACAGGATATTGCCTGAGAAGATTAAATATCTTGCATACAATAAATGAAAATGTAAAGATACTCCGTGAAATATTCTAGTTTTCTGGTAGTAGTGCTGTACTCTGATCATTTAAGCTAAGTTAATAAATTTGAAATTCATAAGGACTAAGCACAAGTGTATTTGATCCAGAGAGTAGATAACCATCAACAAAATGCTCTCTCTACTTTATGTTCTCTTTCAAAAAGGGAAGGAAAAATAATCAGTGGATGCATGTGCAAGACTAAGAGAAACTAATACAAATAGCACGCAAAATATGTAGCAATTAAAAACAAAATCAAAGTCATGCTTCTTACCCACCTTTTGAGTGATCACGACCTTTAAAGGGTCTCTTAAAATGCTTTTTATACTTTTTACGCTTACGTCCTTTTTTCAGTGCAAGCAATTTTTTGGGAAAAGCATAAAATTCAAGTTAGCAAAGCAGAAATGCAAGAAATAAAAGAAAAGACAGAAGAAAGTTTAGCTTGTCAAAGCAGAATGCCTTAGCAAGCTCTCATTAGAAGAATTAAAGAATTAAAGAATTTCATAGCTGTTAAGGAAGCAATCAACTACTCCTCGTAACACAGAGCATCATTTTCCATCATTCACATATACATGAATTCACTTTCGTGGAAGCAACTGAAGCACTACCTTTTCTTTTTCTACTTAATGTCAGTATCAACTTCAGATTAAGTACACAAATTGCACTGTGATTGAGGGCCATGCCAATTGTATGTATAAATGCATGCTTCAAGATTTGTTACACAAGATCCCATGAGTTTAAGGATCACATAATCACCAGGCTTCTCAGCAAATCCACACTCAAACTTTTTAATGAATTCATTTCAGATCTCCAATGCACAAAGCAGATCTGAAAACAGAATCATGACTACTTATTATAACTCTGGTGAATATTTTTTTCTGTAATCCAAGCATTTCTTTCATGACTTCAGGCAAAGGCACGTAACGAAACACTTAACAGAATACTCATACGGGAAAAACATTGAAGTCAAAATCCAGATGAGACTTCCGTGCAAGTGCATAACTTCCAAGTTAAGAATGATGCACAACAAAACCCAAAGAAGGTTTTTCAGTAAGATTCTCACTATAATCAACAGCAGGATATGACAGTAATTTGAATGAATGACAGCTGAAACTGCAAAGAAATGCATACAGAAATAATAATTCTTCAATAGTTTTATATTAAATTAAATTCTAATATTCACACACAAATTAAAGTCAAAAAAAAACGAACATAACCACTCCACAAATCAAGTTAATGGTCTGTTTTTCCGCATTTCTAAAGAAAACCAGTTTGGTGAGCTGTCTTGTTTCTTTCACCCCTCTGGCCATAAAGGGGAAAAGAACCCAGCAATAGGGCTGCCTGTACTTAACTTTACAAGGTTATGCCATAAGAAGTGTGCATCCTACTAAAGTTGGAAACAAGCACGAAGGTCAATTTAACTTAGGGGAAGAGCTTTGGTTTTTATGTACTTTGCACATTCCTTCAAAGAAAGGAGGAAAAAGTGCCAGCCAAGACTTCAACCTGTCCTGTAAGTACTTAAAAAGTGGTCACCCTACAAATAAAAAACTAAGTGGGCTAAGGAGGGAGAAGAAAATCTACACCAGTGTTTTAATGCTGAAGAACGCCATCAGCATTTTATGACACTCCTGAATTTGACACAGATGATAGATACCTTCCTAAACGGTCTCCTAGTCTTCTTGAACAGCCCCAGTCACTTAAAGTTTCTGTCTGAATCAATAATAATTAAAATCTTATTTCTAGAATCACTGATACGCACATGCTAATCAAATATACATTTTTCTTATTTCCACATTTGGCAGCTTTGGGTTTTGTTGTTGTTGTTGTTTTAAAACATAAAGCTGCAATTAACCATGCATACCCACCAGGCTTGGTGTCCTTGTAAATCAGACTCTCCAGCCCATACAGGGAATCCTGTGAATGAGCACCTTGGTCCACATGGCAGCAAATAACCAAAAAATGCATTTTGTTTAAAAGAAGGAAAACAGCCCAATTTCATGTTACATTCAGCTCCTCGATTAACACTGAGTTCATAAACCTCATGTCAAGATAGTATTTACATTGTAGTACCTAACAACCAGAGCTGCTTCAGAAATACCTACTTTCAAAGACTGTCTACAGATGCATATTATGTCATTTTCTTTTTACCTCTATTCAGCAAGAGACAAGAGTTTCAAACTTTGGTCTCCATGCATGAGTTCTGATACTGACAAACTTAAATAGCTTGGAAAATAGAAAGTGTTCTGCTTCTGTTAGCAGATCTTGCTACCACTTCTCTATCACATTACACTAACCACACAGAGACATGACCATTTTGTTCAACATCTGAATAGCATGTTGAAAGAAAATATCCCTGTCTGACCTACTGAATTAAGATTCTATGCATATTAATGTCAGTTAAGCACTAACAGAAAGAGCAAATACAGCCAAGAATTCACAGACCTGAAAACATTCCATTCAGTTATTTCCCAGATTTTTACCATCTATTGTGCATTCAAAAGCTTTTAGAAAGAGCTGAATTTCTTATTAGTTCACAGAACAGCAGAGCAACTTGGACCCCAAGAACTTGGTATCTAGCAAAGACAAGAGATCTCCTCATACAAGAACTGAACAAGTCATCCTGACAACAGTAACCTAGAAGAAGACCTGAAAGCCACAAAGAGCAAGGCTGCTGTACCACTGAATGAAGCTGCAAAAGGACTGCAGTTTAGAATAATCCAATTTGAATATTCCTATAGTTTCAGACTCGCCAGGAGAAAAATTTAATAATGCACCCTTGCAAAACATGAGTACAAATCTAATTTTAGCTCTTCATATGACAAGTCAATCTACTGAGGTATCATTTAAACAAAAAAATCTTTTCCAAAGTCTTGCAAAATTGGAGGCATTTAATCTCTTTCAGAAATACTTTGCAGCAGATGCACTAACTACTGCACAAAGTTCCAGATCTGCTATTCCTTGAGTGTTGCCCATTAGGTACCTATTAGGTTAAACTCTTTATATTATCCCTTCATCCCATTGCTACTGATGCAAAGAGTAACAGCTTAGGCATGGCTATAACCAATGCCAAACTTCCATGAACATTCCTTTGTAGGAAGTAACAGTTGCAAAATTCATCCACTGAAGTAGCTTAGCTCACATATAGTTTCTGACTTATTAAAGACAATAAATATAGCAGGGTTTATTTCTGCATTCCATACAGATTGGTAAACTGTTGTATGAAGGACTGCAATTGTGTATTTCAAACTATCAAAATAAGAATAAGGCAGTAGTGTCCTGAAGCTGGAAAATAAAGCAAGCAGAGAGGCTACAGTACAGACTATCTTCCCCCAAATACTCTATGAACAATTTAATTTTCAGGAGCTTTTCCAAGGCGAATGACTTGCAGCATTAAAATTTTCATAGAGATGCATCTTATCAACCATCGTACCTCCTATCACACAAAACCTTCAGCAATCAGGTCTTTACTCTAAAATGCACAGTTACCTGTCATCAGTTCAGGGCTTGGTTTCTGTCCAAAGTAGCCTAATGTGTACCATTATTCTAACATAAGTATTTGTTATGATAAAAAATATAACCTGACTAACCAGTCTGAAATATTCAATTATTTTAACCAGTTAGTTTTAAATTCTTAATGACCTAGATCAAAACTTTACTTAAAGTTTACTGTCTTCATGTTTAACTGTTTTCTTGTGTCACCATTTCTTTCCTCATCAAGACAGACTCATTTCTTAAACCAGACCCAACGTAGTACCACAGAATGGCTTAGCTCAACGGGGACCTCATAGATCATCCAGTTCCAGCCCCCTTGCTATTGGTAGGGTTGCCAACCACTAGATCAAGCTGCCCAAGATCCCATCCAGCTCAGTCTTGAATACTTCCAGTGATGGAACACTCACAAGCTCTCTGGGCAATCTGTTGCAGCACCTTACCACACTCTGAGTAAAAAATGTATTCCTAACATGTAACCTAAATCTCCTTTGTTTTGTTTAAAGCTATTTCCCCCTTGTCCTGTCACTATCAGAGCATGTAAAAAGTTGGTCCCCCTCCTGTTTATAAGCTCCTTTCAAGTACTGGAAGGCCACAATGAGATTTGCCCAGAGCTTTCTCTTCTTCAAGCTAACCAAGCCCAAATCCTTCAACCTTTCCTCATAAGAGGTTCACTCCAACCCTCTGACCATTTTCATTGCCCTCTTCTAAACCCATTCCAACAGCTCCATATTCCTCCTGTTCCTCCTGTTCACACTCCCTGTTGCTCCTTAATCTCTCTACCCTCTCCTTGAGCTTTGCCACCATAATCATACCATCATAGATCATATATCTTTTACCATACAGTAAAAGCCAGCAGAAACTGAAATGAAGGCATTATTGCTGATATTATTTTGTGAAAAACATTAAACCTTTCCACTTTCCTTTAAATTTCTTTTAAGCAAAGAATGACTTCTCACATGCACCTCTAAAACATCTTTAGAATTTCAGTAATGGATGTTGAATGAAATAAACATTTGTCTCAGCAGCTGCTGTCTTTGGTCCTGTTCCCAAAGAGCTTTATGAGAAAAAAAAAAAACCAACCATACCAGATAACTGAATTCTAATTTCCAATGGACAAAGAAATGGTAAACAAAATGAGTAACACTTCTTAAGCATAAACTGAAGAGGAAAGAGCCTTTTTAAAGCACTGTAGTAAGATAGCTAGACACTTAAAATTTATTAAATCAATTACAGAACTGTGCTTCTTTCATAGCAAAGTAAATTCCCGAATTCCATTGGAGGTTTGCATTATTAACTTGTACCTTTTTCGGCTGCTTTCTGCAAGGCTTCCTCAATTCTGGTCAGCTCCTTTTGTTTATTATCTTGCAAATACTTTTCTTCCTTCTCTGCATCGTATTTAATGCCTGTAAGCCAAGTTGGGACAGCATTACCCTAAATTTCAAATTATGTCAATACACAATCAAGCAACGTGCACTATATCATGTTGCAAAATGACATTTTAAACAAAGGCTATTCTAGTTGCTGAAACCTCCACCCTGCCTCTGAAAATAACAGGATACAAGAGATTATACCAACATTCAAGAATTGTTTTACAGGAGTACCTTTACATATGTAGTGTGATTTCTCCTACACATGTACATGATGTTCTAGAAATTTTTAAGTTTTCTTATTATAACAAAGCATCTGATATCAGAAAAAGTAAATTAAGTTCTCTGATCTTCTCCCCTTCATAAAAATCAGTTCTAACAGAATTACCACTTTTGATTGTTATTAATTAGGAGCAGACTGTATCCTGCAACAGCCAAAAGATCTAAACCGTGCCAGAAGAGTGGATTCAAGATAGACACATCAAAGAAATCAGGTTTGTTAAACTGAACTTAGAATGAATGGACCCAACCGAGACTTTCCATTACGGCAACAAGTGCTCTTTTTGCCTACCACTCTTCCACTCACATCCCTGCATTTGTCTAGAAAGTTCCCTGGGGGAACCAAGGGTAAAAAACGGCAGTTTATTTAATGGTACCTTTAGATATTTATCTCTTTGATTATTTCACTATGTTGAGAAGATGACTTACTTGCTCCAGGAACTATAAGAAGATACAAGCCTTCTAGAGTTGCAACAACTGCTTCACCATACAAGTTCTTCCAAGGAATCTTCAGAGTCAGTTTATCTACATAAAGCAGATGAAAGTTAACTCAAAGAAAAAACAATGCTGTGATTAGTTTGAACATATAGTGAAGGTCATTAATTCTATTTCTTCATGTTCTAAATGCCTTAGAAGTTAAGGAGACACTGTGTGGGTACATCTTTTATAATACCCTTGGAGTTCAAAATACATGCAGAGAAAACATGAGCAAAAAGAAGCAGTTTTGAGTCCTAAGACTTCAGATCAAAAACTGAGATTGTGATTGGATTGGAATAGAATACATTTATTTCCAAAAAAATCATTTTATTTGAAAAAGCAATGCAGAGCTGGAGGGAAAGAATATTTAACAACACGCATCTAAGAGCTGCTAAACTCTTGGCATGTCTGCCAATCTTTCATCAATCTTACTTCAGTTCTTCATATTCCTAATCTATCCTTTGAAGAAACACACATTCTAGTTCTACTAAACAGCTCCCTTGATCAACCACATACCTGTGAAACATTTCAGATACATTTTTCACACTCAGCCTATAATGTTGCACAAACAGGCTTACCCAGGGAACTTTTTATCACTTATGTAGGGCAGTCACATTAGACACATACACTAGTTCAACAGCAAGCACTATTACAGAGACCGCCTAAGAAATCTTGATAAAAAAAATTCAAAGGCAAGACTGATCTTGAGACTTGTACTCAAAATTCCATTTTAAGATTTAGCTTGAAACAAAACAAAACAAAAAAACCTTACCTATCTGTCCAACTTTGACTCTGAAAGGCACATCCAGTTCACTCTGTAAAAGAAAAATAAGCATTAAACAGCTTCATGTATTGCAAAGGCAACTTGGTTCACAGCAGAATTATAATCCTGACTTCTCTTAAAACTGTGCACACAAAATTGAAGTTCCAGAACAGATGCAGTTCTCTGTATGACACAGATATAATTAATCAGCAATGCTCATGTGAACGTGGGAATCCATAAATACAGTCAGGCTTGTAGAAAGCCAAAAAACAAAGGAGTTACACAGTTCTAGCAGCTCTTTAATACAAGCATGATAATGTTTTGCGACAAAAGTTACCCAAGAAGTAAAGTTTCATCTACATACAAGAAAATAATTTTACTTCTTTGTTCAGTCATCCCATAGGTCTTATCTTTTTGATAATCAGTACAGCACTTAGAATTTCCTGATATATTTTAAAAGCCTCAATAGCAAATTGAATTCTTTGTAAAATGCCTCCCAACATCAAGAACAGCATGGACTCAAATACCCAAGGAAAATGAGACAAGTGAACAATTATTACTATCAATTAAAATCTCATAAAGATTTCATCTACACAACGTACCGTAAAAACAGGAATATAACCAGTGCTTAAAAGAGAGACAAATAGAAAGAAGAACAAAAGAAAGAAAGAAAAAATAAAACTAAAAATTAAGTTTAGGACAAATGATTTAACTACTCTTACACTAAAATTCTGATGGGAAACCTTAAGAGGAAGACAAAAATGATCTAGACAGCAGCAGACTGACAAACCACAAAAAGATGAAGCTGTATTACAGCACATACATTTGACTCCTTTTTCAATAAGCTCTCTAAATGCTTCTCTAAAAAAGGAACTCAGTACTAACCTTATTTTAATTACTTCTGAAAAAATATCCATCACATTGCAACTGTAAAGTAGAAATACTTTATATATAGAAATACTCCTTATTTTCAAGAATTGAACTTTTCTCATCTTTCCTTAAGAAAAGTATAGCCATTTTCCTACATAACAACTGCTAGGTATGTAATCAACTGTGTAATCACCATAAGGAAGGTTTACATACAAATTAGATGGTATTTCCTTACTTATCTACTTCCTTTCTTAACTACAATATTATAAAGATGCTTTTGTCAAGGGCTTTAAGTACAAAGTTATCAGCAAAAGAGGCAGGTTAAGATATGAAATTTCAGAGCAACAAAGATAAAAGAGTGATGTCAAGCAAAAATTTAGCATGTTTTCCCTAATCTTCCTGAGTGCAATGAGAAGCACACTGAAGTTTGTTGTAAGAATCTTTCAGTAGTACAGCCGCCCCTTAGCTCAGGACACAATAACCAATCAAGGATTTTTCAGACAAGAATCAGGGTACTTATTGGAAGCTCTGTCTTGCTTTTTTTTTTTTCCCCTTCACTGTTACTCCTATTTTAAGAACATTTAAATAACCATATTACATGGTTAATCAGTACGTACAAGTTACATTCAGACCGTACGCATCTCAAACACATCACCATTGACAGTTTTAGTTGAGAATCAACTTACATAGCCATAAACATAAGCCTTTATTTCATCAACAGATAGAACTTTTTCTTCCTTTGTACCCACACCAAAACACAGTCCCTCAGAGGACTTCAGTGATAAGGAGTCAGGCTTTGAAAATCCATTTATTCAACAGAAGCAGAAAAAAAGAATACACAGACCTGTGCATACCTGTTGTTCCTACTAAGTTGTTCTGAACCATACAACCATCTGTTGCATTGTCATACAAGTGATAAACCCTATAGAAGTCTAAACTATGACCTCATGAAAGTATGATTACACAGCAGCAGAAGAAATTAAGTTCTTTAGCTTGTACTGGAAGACTAAAGCAGTAACAGAAACGTACAAACATTTTAGAGCTTTACTATTTCAAGCTTCAAATATTAGGACAAGTGATATCTATGTAGAATCATAGAATTTTTGAAGTTGGAAAAGACCTCTAAGATCATTTAGCCCAACCATCAACTCATCACCAATACCGTCCACTAAATCGTGTCCCTCTGTACAACCCCTACCTCTTCTTGAGCACCTCCAGGGATGATGACTCCACCACTGCACTGGGCAGCCCTTGCCAACACCTAACCACTCCTTCTGAGAAGAAATTTTTCCTAATATCCAGCCTGAACTTTCCCTGGCACAACTTCAGGCCACTACCTCTCATCCTATTGCTGCTGTTTGGGATGAGAAGGGGACCCTCACCTTGCTACAAACTCCTTGCAGGCAGTTGTAGACAGCAACCCCTGAGCCTCCTCTTTTTCAGACTGAATCATCCCAGTTCTATCTGCGGCTCCCCACAAGATTTGTACTCCAGAGCCTTCACAGTTTTGTTACCCTTCTCTGGACACATTCCAGGACCTCCACATCTCTCTTGTAGTGAGAGGCCCAAAAAACTGATCACAGTGCTTGAGGTACAACTTCATCACTGCCAAGTACACAGGGACTATTAACTTCCAGTCCTGCTGGCTGCACTATTTCTGATATAAGCCAGGATGCCATCGGCCTTGGGCACGTGGGCACACTGCTGGCTCACGTTCAGCTGTCAACCAGTACCCCAAAATCCGTTTCCTCCATGCAGCTTTCCAGTCACTCTGCCCCAAGCCTGTAGCCACACATGGGGTTGGTGTAACTGAAACGTAGGACCCTGCACTGGGTCTTGCTGAACTTCATTCCAATTGCCTCAACCCATCAATCCAGCCTGTCCAGATCCCTCTGTAGGGCCTTCCAACCCTCAGGCAGACTGATATGCAGAAAACATCAGAAACGTACTTGAAAACACTACTGGTAATTTCTCAGAAGCACTTTTCTTGGGCATGTACTTATGATTTAACCTGTGGACATTTTTCCCTTTGTTTCAATAACATTCGCAGTGTTAGAAGCCGTTAACCAAGCACCACTTTCAGTAACAAGCAAAGAAGGCACACTCTGTGAAGTGAGACCATATAGAGTAAGCAGCCCTGAGGCTTAGCCCTTAGACCCTCTGATACAGCTTGAGAATTAGTGGGATACTTACTAATGCATTCTCCTTTATTTGTAAGTTGTCAAGTGCGACATTACCTACATGGAAGAAAAAAGTTCAGTGATTTCAACAGCTATGCAAAGCAAGCTGGAACAAAGAAAACAACCACAGCCTTCCAAACATAGGGTCTAACACTGGGAAGCACAGCACGCAGAATCATACATGAGGAAAACTGCACATGTAACACCAGAGTGCTTCAACACCAGAGTGCTTCGGGCTATGTTGTTTATAATACAGGTATGAATCATTCACAGCCACGACAACAGCGCAATCGATCTGAGAAGAAACGCTGCGGCCCCCACAAGAGCCGGCCTTCCGCGGGCAGCCGCCCCAGCCCCCTCAGGGGCACCGCCCGCCGCCGGGGGGCGCCAACAGCGCGGGAAGCCGCGGCCCCATCGACCACCGCCGCCCCTCACGGGGAGCAACGCGGCCCCGCGCCGACCGACCGCCCCCCGGGGGGTGGTCCGCGGTCCCGAGCCGACCGCCCGCCCCTCGGGGAGCGCCGCGGCCCTCGCAGCGACCGCCCTTCGCGGGGGAGCGAGGGGCAGGTCGGCTCCGCGGCCTCGGGCCGCCCGCCCGCTCCTCACGGGGGCCGCCGGCCCGCAGCCCGCCCGCTCCGCGCGGGGACCGCCGGCGCTCGGGGGACCGGAGCCAGCGAGACCCGCTCCCCGCGAGGAAGCGCCCTCCCCCGGAGGCAGCGGCGGCCCCGCCGCGCCGCAGAGCCGGGTCGGAACGGGCTCCTTACCCCCCCATATGCCCAGCTTGAGCTGGGATTTGTTCAGGTTCTCCACATAGTCGCCCAGGAAGCGGTTCAGCAGATCCGCCACCACCGACTCCAGCACCATGGCGGAGGCGGGCCCACCGTACGCCGCCCGCGGCCCACCGCGAGGGAACGAGGGAGGGGCGGCGAGGCGCGGCGCGAGGCAGCGCCGGGCGCGTTCCCGCGGTCAGGTGACGGGGCGGGGCCGCGCAGCGCCAGACGGAGAGCCGGGGCCGCGCAGGGGCTGAGGGGACGGGGAGGCGGCCGGGTGGCTGCGGAGCTGGTGCTGGGGAGCGTCGGGCGGGAAGAGGAGCGGCCCCGAGGCGGGAAGCGGCGCGCTGCAGGAGGCGCAGGGAGGGCGAGGGTCGCCTCGCAGCGGTGCGCGCTGATAGTTTTACTGTGCACGGAACGACGTTCGTGTTCAGCCAGCCGCCCGAGTGACGTGAAAACTGACGGAAGAGGAGAACGAGAGAGGGGAAATGAGTATTGGCAGTACTCAGGCCTCAAAAATACATGAAAATAAGACAACGCGGAGACAGGCAAATCGTAGAATTACCAAGGTTGGAAAAGACTTACAAGGTCGCCCAGTCCAACCGTCCACCCATCACCAATAGGTCTCACTAAACCATATTCCTCAACACAGTGTCCAAACGTTCCTTGATCACCTCCAGGGTCGGTTGAACCTCATCCCATTGGCTTCAGCCCAGCTATCCAGCCTGTCCAGCTCCCTCTGTAGGGCCTCGCTACCCCCAAGTGCTGCTTCAAAAAGCTGATAAAAACATTGTGGAGCTGCGTGCAAGGGTGTTTTAAGAAGCCACTGCTAAAGGAGTGAGTTTTTGCAAGCCGATGAAGGTCTATGAGCGGCTGTAGCAGAGGTGGATCTGAAGGGCTGTGTGTGGTTTTCTCCTTTGTGCAGGAGGCACGAATGCGAGGTCACCCCTGTATGTCTGGATCTGTTAAATCAGCATGTTCAGTAAAGCATACAGCAGCCCAGAGCAGGCGACAGCACAAGAAGATTCCTTGTTTAGTGCTTTACCTCAATGCGTGCCACATCTGTACATTGCTATGTATATGTATGCCTAACTTTTCCACAAGCATTTTTCAACGTTTAAAGCGTGAGGCAGAACGTTACGCCACTAAGACCAAAGTTCAGATCTGCAGTGGTTGTTAAACACAATGATCCGTGTGATTGGGTGGGGGAAGTTGTATGGCAGAATGCTGGAGACACATGGAAATTGTGGAAAGGTTCATCAGTGGGAAGTTTCACCCTTGTATATCTTTCTGTAGGTACCACTGGTGAGCACCGAAAGCTCACTGAATGCCTTTTCCCTCGCACATACTGTGGCAGTTCTTAGACAAGAGCTGTCAGATGCTTTATTAAAATTTATTAATCAAAATCATCTGTGTATGCAGCATTCTGGGCCTTTTGCAAGGCTGGTTATTGCCTGTAGGCGGATAAATTTGTTTTAAGTTGAGTCATTAGTGCCATTTTTGTTCTTTCAAAGAATTCTACTTGTGTCAAGCCAGAGGTGATTCCAAGGACCTTCCAACTAAACCACATGATGATGTCTGACATGATTACTGTAACAGATGAGATTTTTCATTAGTGGGTGGCATTCGAGTGCCACATTCTTGTGTTTAGCTTCAGACAGGAAGAAAAAAATCTAATTATTTAATTTATAGAAACTACAGAAGGTGACAATTATTTTTTTACTTCTCCCATGCAGTGCTGTCTGTACAGAGCCATTTGTACCCTTGGGAAGCAACAGTGCAAGAAAACAAGGTAGGAAATTGTATGCAGAGCTTCTGCTGCCATTCTGATTGATAACAAACTTTCATCTGTGATTATTACAATAAAACTTTAAAAGACTTTTCCTTATTGTGCTTTGTATTTACAAACTGTGGCTGAATTACTAAGCTTTGAGCAAAAGCTAATCAGTGACAGCTCATCCTCTTAGTGTATATAAATTTAAGAGCAATTGTGCAAATCAGTGGCACTAAATGTTCTCTATAACAATTATATAATATAAACAGGATGATAAAACCATTTTCTTTGCTTCTCATAACAGCTGCATTGATTTCTGCACTATAAATTGTTGGATAACAGGTGAAAACAGGTCAAATCATTTTCTAATTAACCAAAATGGTTTTTGAAAATCATCTTATAGCATGTAGTTGAGTAAATGACATTTCTGTTGTTGTTTATAAACATGCTTTCCAACAAATATGTGGCCTAGTGGATCAAAAATAGCTCACAAAATAATGTGATTTCACCTGGAACAGAACTCCCAGAAAGCCAAGTTTGTATCAGGTATCTTGTTTCAGTAAAATCTACATATATATCAAAAGCAAAATAAAATAAAAGGAATACAGAATGGAATTATGAATGGACAAACTGTGAAGAAGGCAGTTTACAGAGATCTTTTATTGTACTGTAGACATACATGCAGTTTCTTTTAAGCATTGAGATTTCTGAAATAACAGATTCAGAACAGAAACATTGGTATTTGCTTACCATTCACTGAAAGCACAGATAATGTTCATTCACTGAAAGGAAGAACCTATGCATTCTGCCCTTTTTTTTTTTTTTTTCTAAATACCAACATTGAATAAACATTATTGCTTTGATAAATATGAATAGAGTCAGTAGTTTAACTCAGCTGAAAGTTCTCAAAAACATGTTCCTTGTGTACTATGGTAGCACTTCATTATTTCCTAAAAAGGAACCATAAGCACAGCACTGTAACACTTAATGTTGTGTTTTGCTGTTTTTATGGCAAGATTTGCTCAGGTCCCTCAGGTAGAACTTCCTGAAGAGCAAAGCCTGAAAGAATAGGAAATCTGCACTGAAAGTATCAGTTTAAATCTTTAGTTTCATGAATAGAAATACACATTGTAACAACAAATATTTGTTTGGTGTTGCCTGTTACGCAATCTTGCACACATAAATAAATAATAGTCACAGTATAAAGCTAATTTGAGGTGGGTACATGGATTGATCACTTAATAACCCAGCTTTCTTCTCATCTTTTACTGCATTAATATTACAAAATCTCCAGCTCCTACCATCTGACTGTTGGCAAGTGAACAGATGGCAAATTTTATCCACTATACCTCACTAAACAGAATGCATGCCTGTTAGCAGTTGGGAAATCAGCCAAGTAATGTAGCATCAGCTCTCCTCATCACAAAGCCTCCAGGGATTAGAGGACTTTGTGATGAGTTAGATCAGGTTGCCAAGAGTCTTGTCCATACAAGTTTTGAAAATGTCCAAAAATGGTTACACCACAGCCTTGCTGAGCATCCTGTTCTTTATCCACTCAAATTCTGAGTTTTTTTTCACTCCTTTTAGGTGCTGAGAATCTCCTGTTAAGTAATGTTTTATTGTAACATTCTCAGAAGAAGTAACTTTCTATTTAAGACATAGATTTTAGACTTAACGGATGCAACAAGTCAGTATTGATAATTTTGCCATCCTTCTTTTTCTAGAAGTGGTAATAACAATAATAATAATAATAATAATAATAATAATAATAATAATTCTGTGGAATCAATACTATTTTATATTGTTGCTGGGTCTATGTTTTTTATTTTTATACTATATTTTTCACTGTTTTTAGTCTTTCTCCTAAGTAGTGCATGGGAGATTTTGTTCATAGTGAATGCCTTTACAGAAAATAAGGGGAAAAAAAAGATGTCTTAACACTTTTACAACAACTACTAAAATGATGGATGAAAACCACACAAATTAACTTGTATAAACTACATAAAACTGCTAAGTAATAAAATTCTGAGATCAGTGTTGGAAATTCTTGCAATACTTATCTCAAATACATCAGCAATCACTAAATCAATTTACTTGGACATATTTAGATGGCTGAAACACTAAGAGGATGTCAACATATAGCAGTAATATCTGCTGTTTCTTTCACTTGTGACAGCTGGAGTCTCACAGTTCACAATGGAGAGCCTTGGAGAACTCATATTGAACTGTGTCTTTTTCCCTCTCTGTGACAGAATAATGAAGTATAAAAGGTTTCTAGGCACAAAAAATGTAAGAACTAATTAGTAAGTAAATGAAAGTGTGTCAGTATATGAAGACAGCATTAACTTCATCTGCTACACTAAGGCATAGTCATTTTACAAAGGGCAAAAGGTTGTCTTTATTAATAAAAATAACTTCATCCATCTAGAGAAACCCCAGTTTTGTTTCTCCAGATAATTTAAACTAGATATATTGTCTAAAATCTAATGCAATGGCTGGATTTATTCCTCTATATAGGATGCCACGTCTGTTTCTGAATAAATAGATATTCTGCTTTTCCCACTGTTCTCCAGGACAAACTTCATTTTGACTGTGAATAAGTTTTCAGATAAGTCTGGATTAAAAAATGGCATTCCTATAGACTGTATTTCACTCAAAGCCAAGACTCAAAACTCTTCATAGCTTTCATGTGTTTACAAAACAACAAATACTGCATAAATACCACATGGTAAGAAATAACACTGTACCTGTACTATCTTACTATGGCAGATAATTTTCAAGGGAATCATAGAATGGTCTGGATTTAAAAGGATCACAAGGATCATCTGGTTTCAACCCCCCTGCTATGTGCAGGATCGCCAACCAGCAGACCAGGCTGCCCAGAGCCACATCCAGCCTGGCCTTGACTACCTCCAGGGATGGGGCATCCACAACCTCCTTGGGCAACCTGTTCCAGTGTGTCACCACCCTCAGTGTGAAAGACTTCCTCCGAATATCCAACCTAAACCTCCCCTATCACAGTTTAAAGCCATTCCCCCTTGTCCTATCACTATACACCCTCATAAACAGTGGTTTCCCTCCTGTTTATATGCCCCTTTCAAATATTGGAAGGCCACAATGAGGTCTCCCCACAGCCTTTTCTTCTCCAAGCTAGACAAGTCTGTTTCTCTCAACCTTTCTTCAAAGGAAAGGTGCTCCAGCCCTCTGATCATCTAAGGGAGTTCAAAGCATCGTTTCCTTTACCTGCTGTATCTTATCCATGTCTAGGAGATTTCTTAATTAGAACCTGCATTTTTGCATGAAATTTCTAAGCCAAAAGGCTTGGTCTCTCTGATCAGTATTGATCACATGTATGTCATACCAACTGAGATTTGAATTATAAATTACTTCAATATCTTTAAGTTGTAACATGAAATAATCTGACTTAATTTTTTATGAGGACTTTAGTTGATAGTATTTCTAGAAATCATAGCTTTTTTCTTCAGTGATGAACTGTGAAGATGAAAAAGCCACTAGCTATGTAAGAAAATTGCTTGAAAAGAAAATGAACTTGTTTCAATGGATAAATTGCCTTTGAGTGGAAATAGAAATAATATTCTGATCTGGATAAGCGTATTTTTATTCACTTGATAAGAATTTTTTACTTATCCATTGTGAAAGCATATGTGAATATCTATTAATCCAAAGCCAAGTAATTTAACTTGATAACATTAAATTAACTCCTTGCCCATGGAGGTTGTGGATGCCCCATCTCTGGAGGCAGTCAAGGCCAGGCTGGATGTGGCTCTGGGCAGCCTGGTCTGGTGGTTGGCGACCCTGCACATAGCAGGGACGTGCATAATTTTGCCAAGATGTCTTAAAAAGTCTGTAAGCAAAAGCCAACTGAAAAAAGAGAAGTGCTAGTTAAACGACATAATAAATTGTCAGTTAGATCATTCTCAATGAAAAGGAGAAGGATACAACCTGATCTCCCATATTTCTATGTTATTATCTAGTTCTAACAACAGGAAATGAAGAACAGGCGAGCCAGAGGCAAGGCAGGGTGAGGGAGCAGAAAAAAAATATTTCTTTACAAGGAAGAAGGTCCCCATATCAGTTGTTCTATGACAGAAAAAGCAAGAAAAACACAGCTAGAAAACTGCAAAAAAAAAAGTGGATTTCAACATAGATGATTTGCCATATCAGTCATTTCAACAGATTGAGGCACTGGTGCATCAAAGGAGGAATCCTGGCATTAACTATAGTACTGTTAGTACGAGTAGCACATTTTTATACATTTATTTTCTTATTTCTTCTGTTATTGCAAATCTACACTGCTTGATGCAAATATGCTCTTTTTCTCCTTTACTCTTTATCATGATACTGATCCAGGGCTCATCTTGCACACAGTCAGGGTGCTCCGTGGGCTGAAAAAACCTTTATTCAAAGGCGAACTTTGGGTCAGAAGACACTGCAAGGCAATCTGTCGTCACACTGCAAGGGCATACTCAAGACCAGGTAGGCTTCTAATTTTGGAGGGAATCTCTACTGTGATCTCTCATTACAGAAAAACATGGCCTTTTTTTTTTTTTTTTTCCATTTCAGTGTTGAGACCAAATAGTCATACGAGAAGAAGCCTTTGAGAAGTATTTTTAAAGCTTATCTGATTTCAGGATTTATAATATTTAAATTTCCACTGATGGTAAATATGCTTATCAATCCAGTTTTACTGTTTCATATTCTTAATATAGATGTGCATTATGCTATGATTCTCACATAGTAAGTATGTGTGTATGTGAATAAAAGTGGCAAGTTATAAGTTATTTTGCAAGTACGGCACTCAGAGGTTAGGTTTTAACTTATAATATTGAAATACAGTACTCCAATTAAAAAATATATGTATTTGCCTTTAAATTCTTTATCTTTTAGTTCTACTCAACTGAGAAGGAGTATTGAGCAGCCCAGGCCTGATTTTGAAATCAAAGTCTGCCTTTTAACTTTCACTCTCCTATTCATACTTCCCTATCCTCCACTACTCACCAAGAATGACGGCTATTTTCCAAAGTCCTGCACAGCCAACATCCCACTAACAGATTCATATAAGTAATGATAATGATGTAGTGAAATCTAAGCTTCATTTATTTTGGTAATTTTAATAATGATAGTTCTTAATGTTGTAGATGTCAAGTTTGGCATTTAGATTGTGCTAAATCATAAGCTTTAAATTCAGTGCTGTATTTTAACTCTGCCAAAAGTGAAAGCAAGGCAGGTGGATTGAGTGTCATGATTTGAAAATTTATACAATGCTTTTGAGTGCCTGAGTACCTTCAGATAGTGCTGAGTTCAACTTCTGAAACTCTTGCCTGTTTTTGACATCTGAGAATTAAACTAAAACCAAACTAGAATTCACTGTTTTTTTTTTTTCTTTTATGCGGTTATGAAATCAGTAAATTCTGTTATGATAGAATATAAATGTTGTAACAAATCCCAGTTGCAGATAGACAGTATCTATAAGATGGTTTTGCTGTAGAAGCCAAGAATAGTCAATAAGATTAAAAACTCATAAAGTTGTCACGCTCCTGATAAAAGACCAGCTTTGCTTTGTCTTTTGCTCCCCAAAAGCTTGCAGAGGTTATTGTATCTGTGCAGATATTGTTAGCACAACCTTCACCTTTCATCAGACTGTTCTATGACCTCATCCAGAGATCTGTAGCTGCAGTGTGATTAAGTCACGTGCCAGTGTAATGTGACTGAAGGAAGAATCCTGTTTCCTTGTCCTGTGGTTGGGAGAGGAAACATTTCACTATACAAGAACTGTCAGACATCATAAACTGAACTACACAGGTCTCACTGAAAGTAGTGCCTCCTATTTATTTCCATGGAAACTACAATAGATGCAAAGAGAACAGCAACACTATTTGATAGAGCAAATTCTCAGTTACATAACACTATTTTTCAACTATTTTTCAAGAAGCATGTCAATGGCTGCGATTTTTTTCCATGTGGAGGAGTTCAGTTCCACACTTTTGCTTTGTCCGCACTTCCATGTCAGATGCCATTCTGTCAGACTGCTCCTCTGCTGCCATCTGTCACAGCAACAAAATGTAACAGAATATTTGTGGGAATGTGTAAGTACTGCCATTCCACCAACATCTATCTCTGATGTCAGGGACCAACACAATAAAATAAGAGGCAATACTTTTTGAGCATCCCTCATACAGTAGCTGAAATTCCACAGAGCTGACTTTTTTTTTTTAAAGAGTACGGGGACTGGAGTAGTGGGTGATCACATACAGAAGTGATTATGGCAATGTAAATGCAGGCCAAACTCCATAGGAAATCTTCACTTCAGTTTTTGGTAAGGACAGTGAATGATAGGCAGGAGAATGCTGAAGTATGGTAGAGAAATAGAAATCACAGCTTTTCAGGAAGAGCTGAGATTTGAGCTGTTCCTTGTCATTGCCTTAACAGAATATTGAAAGACCCAGCACACAAAAGAATAGATCCTGTGGCAGATTTTTAGTTACACTGTCAGTTCAAATGTGTATCTCAGAGCCAGTACAGTACCAAAATGCAGCAGTGATATGATCAGATACAATGCCTGCAGAATTGAACTCTGCTCTATGGAAAATCATAGAATCTGAGTGAATGGAAGCTAGGGAGGATATTAGGCAGCAGATTCAGTGTAAGTATCCAAAGAATTTAATCCTGAGTCACCAGACTGAAATAATTTGCTGCATAGATTTATCAAAAGAAGATCTTGTCATACCAGTTGCTGTCTTTCTTAACTAGCTCCATTAACCAAAAGAATTCAATAGAACTAATTTAAGATTTAAACAGTGCATTTGATATGGTGTCTAGTGGCAAATCACTATTTTTGAAATATTAAGTTCAATTATTCTCTTAAAAAATTGAATTATTTTAAAATCATTGTATTAAAATAGAGAGGAAAAGAATATGTGTCAGTATCACATGGCTAAAGATGAGATTGTAACAGGTTATGCTCAAAGAAAAATTCTGAATATGGAAAAGGAATCCATCACGTTAATTCCTGTTCTTCAAGAACTGCTGTTGATGTCTTATATGTTTTGTATTTAAAAATAAGGAGAGCTGAAATCCCAGATCAACCCGAGTTCTTAGAAATGTGCAGATAAGACAGGACAGTATGATCAACAGCAGCAATGGCTACTTTATCATTCAGGAAGCATCAGACAGTGTTGTAGTCTGGATAGACTGATGTCCTTTTAATCAGCAGTCCTTAAACTGAACAGTCTCATTATTAAGTATACCAGTGCAAACCACAGTACTCATCATTGATCCCAGTCATTGCTATAAGAAAGAGAAAGTATAGTATCCCAAAAGACAGAATCTCCCAGATTTATGCTTCAGTGGTCCCAAAGAGACCGAATAAAGGCACACAGCAGCCTCTGCTTTCCCTCATTAACCACTGGAGTCGGTCCGCTGTCATAGAAGGAAGTCAGCTGTCATGTTCCTTCTTTATTGTGTGCCTTCAAATCATCAAACCACGTCACCAGGGCCAGAGGTAGCACAAGGAAATCACCTGCTCTGTTCCCTTCCTTTGTTCCTCTCAGCAGAATGGATCCTTGTTTATTATACTTCTAAAAATCAGTGCCGCTTCCTTTTCCTTGCCCTTCATTATGATACAGATAAAAAGCCTTCCATAAGAAGAGAAACAAAATAACAAAGAACCGAGTTTTTTGGCAACATCTGATTCAAGTTTTTTTGTTTGTTTGTTTTTGTTTTGACAGTTCTAGCTGTATTGTAGCCTTCCTGACTGTTCAGCGAATTGCTGCATAGCCTCCTGCATCCTATTTAGGAAGCAGGAAAGGCAGCCTGGAATAAACTGGAATAATTATTAATTATTTGTAGGAAATACTGGGAAACACAAACTCTTCTTCTACTATGTATTCCACAGCCCCAGTCACCAGCATTCAGTAACCAAGCTATTTATAGATTCAGCCTTACTTCATAAGTTGGATTTTCTCATAAAACCATTAACTCTCTGAACAGTCAGCATACGTGACTTCTTATGGATAAGAATTGTATTGTAAGTTGTTGTACATATTTTAAGCTGTCCCTTATCAAAAGTAAGTAAAAGCTTTTTAATAATAACATAAAAAGTTACAACATATCAACTAGCTTATCCAGATTTTTTTTTTAGGTGAAAGGTTGTACTTGGCATATGAGAAAGGAATTAACAGCCTCTGCTTTTTGTGCTTCTACACCTTTTTTCTTTTTTTTTTTTTTAAATGGCAAACCATATGTACTTTTTCCTGTTGTTACTATAACAAAGAAGCACTCTGTTAAATATTAAACACATACATGAATGAAGCACTTGCATGCTGTGCTGCTGGAGACTGTGGAAATCGGTGTGATGATCTGATCTATCTGAATGACAAATCTCCTGACTTACAGATTTTAAGAATTCAGTGTAGTAATTCTGAACTACAGACATGCATCAAAAGCCCTGTTGTCCTACACTTTATACAAAATCCTAGTCCCATAGATGAGTTAGCTGCAGAAGTGCAGGGTCCATTTGAATTCCATAGCTGGATTAGGAGCCTCTCATATTCAAACATTTCACTGTTGACATCTGAGTTTAAAAGTCGCTTCAAATATCAAACTTAATATTTTTCCTCTAGGTTGAAACCTCTGAAGGAGTACTATCACACACAGATATCTTGTCTTCCTCTCCACATTGCGTTTGTTTAACTCTCATTCACCTTCATATAATACCAAGTTAAGCCCTGGTTAGATACCTATGTATTTTGCCCAAATGAACATTTATTTCTCCTGCAACTCTGAGAATTAGTCAATCACTATCGTTTCAATATTTTTTTTTTTATATTTACTCTCCTCTAAAATGCACAAATTAAATCTGCACTGGATTTAAATTAGACACTGAGTTGTTCTAAAAACATATTCCCCATTAAGTGGGAAGCAACTAGTAATGGTAGAACAGTCAGTCCCCACTGTAAATACTAAGGACTGTCAAATGTGGCAGACATCTTATCTTCTGAACTGAACTAATTTTTTTATTTGCTTGTACTTTCTCATAGAATAATTGGAGTCAGCCTTTTGGCAAAGTTGAACTCATGAGCTGGCAAACACCTTCAGGAGACAATGGACTCTAATTAGAATCAAGGAGTTGGCCACATGTAAGTAGCATGTAATTGGCCATGTAATACACACTATCTGAAGTTCATCCACTTTCACTTTATGAGAAGAGATGAGATATGATAGGAGCACTTGCCCTTATGGGAACTAGTGGATCTTACTCTGGTGTAACGGCACAAGAGTAACATATGAGCCATAACTGTGGCATTGGATTTGTTTAATTTGCAGTGAAGTTTATTCCCTATAGAGTCTGTGGGGCCTCTGAAACTGATAACTGCTATCAGAGTTTAAAAAGTTCCTTACACTATCCTAAACTTCATGTCAGCACTGTGTGTGGATCTCTGCCATTAAAATAATCAAATCTGAAGATGACGCTACTTCTCTTGAGAACGAAAAAGTATTTAAAATAGGTTGAGTCCTAACTGTTTATAGAACATGATAATTTTGCCCATAAACACATCAGATTTACCTACTTTGGGTATATACAGTTTAGAGAACTACTGTTTCAAATTGAAACAGTCTTCAAGGTAGAGCTGTCCAGAAGTAGAAAAAAAGGTTCCTTGGCACTTAGATAGTAAAGGTAGTAGGCACTGAAGCTTCCTGTCACCTGGATCCCTGAACTCTAACTGACGTTTGCCAACATAGATATCATCGGATAGAACTAACATCACCTGATTTCCAATTTCATTATAACAAGGCAGTCTGTAAGAGCAGACGTATTTCTTGCCTAATACCCTCAGTCAGCTGCTTGTACCACTGAGGTAATAGTTATGCAGGAAGAAAAACACTGAGCAGATGGGTATGTTTACTGGGGAGCTAAACTGTGTGCAGAAGCAGAACTTACAATATTTCTGGGAATTAGTGTAGTCAGGAAAGGATAAAAGCATATTATAATTAATAACTGCGTCCGTCAGCTCAATTAGGTTGTAAGGTTGTGACTGGGAAACTAAATTTTTTCCATTTTTATCTTTCATAATTAATGCTATTGAACTGTATGTAAATATATTTTTTTACTTATGAGATACTTATAAAAACATTTTTATGAAGCATGCCAATGAATTTACAGCATTACAATCTCTGCAGTTCCTCAACATGAGCTAAATAAATCTTCTCTTCTTGGCAATGTCTTTTGCTCTGTGAATCCTGGGTCTGGTCAGCTCCAGGTTGCTGAAGTCCTCCATTACAGATAGACCTCTACCATAAGGAAATAACTTCTCTCTCGATCATCTGCTGCAAAATTAACACATAGCAAATCTTCTTTTTGTTG